ACGTCAAGAATAGTTGGCAGGACATTTCATTTAGCTTAATCTGCCCAGTTACTTAACTCTTAAGCATGACTCCATGTAGTGTTATAGGAAAGACCTCAGCTATACTTACATTAAACTAAGTTTGCATAGAGATTCCCGAGAGTAATCTCTGTGGCTATTAAAAGCCTTGAATTTATACCTAGTTTTAAGCATGACTGGGTAATAAATTTGCAGTATGATTATTCAGGTTTATTTTTCTCATTTTTTTCACTCTGCAGGCTTGCTCATTTTGCTTAGATTCACCTAACTTCTTGAAATTGCGCAAACTAAAAATTAGTCATTTTTTCCCCCAGTTTTGAGATGATTAGTTAAGAGCTTTTGCTCATGCCATCTTTATTCTTGTTGCTGTTGTTTTATTCAAAAATCTTACAATGTGTTTTGGGCTTCAGATCTCACTCAGTCTTTACGTTGTGAGTGAGGAGTGGCATTTTAAAAAGTAAGAGGGGCCAAGATAAAAAAAAAACAGAATGAGATTAAATTTAAATTATGTTAATATATCCATTCTCGGTATGCTTAATAAATTCCCTTTCTATCACTTCAACAATTCAAATTTAGCATTGATTTTTACTGATGCTTTGGGACCGCAGGAATGTAATTTTTACACCCCTGTATTCTTGGATTTATAACATTTACAGTATTGTAGCTATCCCTGCTGCATCTAGCTAACTGAAAAAGATGGCAAACGTTCAATAGAATTTAGGCCTGTTAATTCATCTACTAACAGAACTGTGTAATGGATAAGTTGTATTGTATGTCATTGTAGGAGCTGAATGTGATGTGGCTACAGTATGGGAAACAGGGTGCTGTCGCACTGTGATATTGAAATGCGTGCACTTTGATCACAATGTATGCAATTAATAATAATAATAATAATAACTCTATTGTCACTTTGAATCGGCATACAAAGAGCGAGGTGGCGCAGCAGTTAGAGCAGTGGTTCTCAACCTGTGGGTCGGGACCCCATTTGGGGTCGAACGACCATTTCACGGGGGTCGCCAAACAATGCAGTCCGCCATTTTTCCCCCCTTTTCCTTAGCTGGGCTACTCCCTTTTATTCTATTGGCTTTTGAAAGCCAATAGAATAGACTCTCTTGAATAGAGTCAAATCCATTGGCTTTCAAAAGCCAATAGGAATTGTCTAGACTGTCTCTGCCCTTCTGAGCCCACCAAAAGTCCCATTCTGCAAACGGTGCTGCACCAGTTGAGTCGACTTACGACCGGTTGAATAGTCCTCGACTTACGACCGGTTGGGGGTCGCGGCATTAAAAAGGTTGAGAACCACTGAGTTAGAGTGTAGTACTGCAGGCCACTTTAGCTGACTGTGTTCAGCAGGTCAGCGGTTCAAATCTCACCGGCTCAAGGTTGACTCAGCCTTCCATCCTTCCGAGGTAGGTAAAATGAGGACCCAGATTGTTGGGGGCAATGTAAATATATATATGCATTGCTTACTGGTGTACACCGCTTAGAGAGTGCTTGCACTTAAAGCGGTATATAAGTCTCATAAATAAATAAATACATCAAAATGAAATTTCGTTGCATACAGCTCTCAAAGGGCCACCACCTCCGATATACACTCCTTGTTCGTGGCCAGCTCAAGTTACAGATCTTCCATTTTAGTCTCTAGGGAGCGAACGATGGCAAACAGGACAGATGGAAATGGAGCTCCATGTGGATTAGCCCTCAAATTAGCATGTATTCCTGCACGACAACCTCGTCTCCTTTTCTTTTTCTGATCTTGTCTCTTCCACCTTTTCCTTAAAGAGGCCTCACTCCTTTTCGCCCCTGGAGAACGCTGCCGCCGCCACCAACTCCTCCAAAAGCCTCTCTCCCATCCTCTGGGCCTGCCGACAGCCTCATCCAGTTCCTTCGCTCCATAAGCCCCGGGACCTCTCCTCCTCTGCCTCCTTTGGAAACAGCCCTTATTTGCAATAGAATCCGTCGCTGGGCCAGCAGTCAGATCTTGCTGCCGGCAGAACAATTTCAAACAGCACCAACGACTTTTAACGGTCTCACCAACAGTTCCAAAACAGCTAGAAACTCGCCATGCCAGCAAAGATTGTCAGTCGTATGTTCTATGTTACCTTAGTTCAGTGTTTCTCAACCTTGACCATTTTAAGGCATGTGGACTTCAACTCCCAGAATTCCACAGCCAGCAATGCTGGCTGTGGAATTCTGGGAGTTGAAGTCCACATGCCTTAAAATGGTCAAGGTTGAGAAACACTGCCTTAGTTCCACCACATTGCTCAAACACATTAAAACCTTCCTGATCATGTGGCCTATATCCCTTAATATCCCTCCCAAAACATTTCACCTTCGAGAGCCAATGCAGCTGCAGCCGATCCAGGCGCCGCCTGGGTAATACAATGGGTAATACAAATTTGTAATTACTGAGAAATGAAGATTTCCTGCACATATGAATATAAGAAAGTTTCAAATTATTCATACTGGTGAGGGTGAAGAAAAATCTTTCTCTTCCTCCTCTCTGTTTGCTTCTCTTTGCAAGCAAAGACGGGGGTGGAGAGGAAGAGAAAGTACGGTTGAAGTTAGTTCTAGGGCTTGTGTAAGTCTTCCCAGGAAGCACTGTGTCGAGGTAGTTGACTTGCAACAGTTCATTTAGTGACCCTTCAAAGTCACAACGGCAGTGAAAAAAGTTGATTTATGACCATTTTTTTACACTTAAGACCATTGCAGTGTCCCCATAGTCACGTGATCAAAATTCGGATCCTTGGCAACTGACTCATATTTATAATGGCTGAGTGTCCCGGGGTCATATGATCCCCCTTTTGTGACCTTCTTAGAAGCAAAGTCAATGAGGGAAGCCAGATTTACTTAGTAACTGTGTTACTAACTCAACAACTGCAATGATTCAAGGTCAAGAAAGGTCATAAAGAGAGGCAAAACTCACTTAACAAATGTTTCACTTAGCAACAAAAAATTGGGGCTCAATTGTGGTCATAAGTCAAGGTCTACCTGTATTGAATCACAGCTCTTCCCAAAATATATCTTCTCCGACACCCGTCTGCACACTTCTTACCCCTGTTCATGGTGCTAAAATGTTTGATATCAGTCATAGTTTACTTTGGAAGCTCTTCTTACTCCGATTAGGATGGAGAAACCTTCTGACATCAACTTTCCTCCTCTAAGGTCAGAGGTAAGTGTGTAAATTGCCTGGGTTTTGTTCTCATTGTCCCACAGAGATTCACCGTAAGATTCAATAGAGTTGACTCGCTTCTCTTCCTTATAGTCAGGAATGTCAGTCTGACATATTCTTCTGTACCAGCAGTGGATATCCTGTAGCTCATGAGCCAAATGGCACCTCCAAAACCAATAAGTAGCCAAATGATCAGTTTGGGGACTCCGTGATTGGGAGTCTAAATAATTTCAACAGAATGTCCTCGGGCCATTTGGGAAATTATTTACAGATTGCCTACTCCTCCACTCTAATAATACTGGAAAGGCTGCAAATTACAAACAAATCAATGTCTTCTCCATTCTTCTTGGCAATTATTCTTTGGGTGATGTCACTTGGCAGGGGCACCAAAGACCCCACAGTGATATTACTGGTTCCCTTCCAGATGCTTAGGATAGCAAATATGGCTGTCTTGTTCCACGTGCATGTTGAGGACAGAAGAAATCAGAAGTCAGTCTTATGGGTGATCCCAGCAAACCATTGCCTGATTTGGGGTTATGTCCTAAGTTTTCCCCAAATTGTTTTTATGTTGTGAGCTTCAAAGCAGAAAAAAATGCATTTTAATTGCCTTCTGTTCTTTGATTGCTACTGAGCCAAATTCAAAGGGCTGATATACATATTTTTCATGTCCTAATGCAGCTTCTCAGAAGCTTGTGCCTTCTAGATAGGTTGGGTGGCAATCTCTATCATACCGATCCAGCAACATAAGACTAGCAAGGGGATCATGCTAGCCAGTGGATGGAAAGATTGATAGGCCAATGCATTTAAAAGGCACCACGGTATGTGTAGCCTTAATGAATTGGGACTTACTTAAATGTTTAAAACACTGTATTTAACAAGACCCTCTCTAGCTAATTAGGGTGAGGCAATCTTCTTCAGTTGCAATTTATTTAACATTTCTCCCTTTACAGTACCACTCTAAAATAAATTATAAAGGACTTTTTCTTAGTGAGCTGACAATCTCACCAAGTTTTGTGTTGCTTTTTCGTTAGTTTATGATTCAGTTGTCATCTATTTCACCCTTTGCAGTACATTTTCTGTCTTACACAGTGGTGTTTCCTCCTCCTTTTATGTGTTTCTTTGTTCTATATAAAGCTTTAAAAATTTTTGAAACTTTGGGAAAGCAAACATGTTATATTGAACCACTTGACAGTGAAAGTATGTTCTGAGAGAGTGGAGCCATCACATAACCAATGAAGTTTACAACAATTTGTCTTTTGAATTGTAGCAACATGTATAACATGTTATGAAGATGTTCCATTATAGTTAATCTGAAAAAGTTAAAACGTGGGCTCAGCCCAAAGATCCTATTATATAGTTCTTTATTGTGCTATTTACAGAATAAAGTGCAGTTTGTATCTGCGAGTGGACGGCACGGAAATGAGTCTATCTAGATGAGCCTATCCAGGACAAGACTACCATGTGGATGTCTCAACTTTTACAGTACTGTATATGCAGCAGTTTTATTGAAAATAAGGAGGCAGCCCCCCAATATAAAATCCTTCCATCTTTGATCTTTAGTAGTAGGTGCCAAGAGCAGTGATTCAATCCATTACCTTTCTCTTATAGGAGATCCGTGTGGGTGCAAGCACCCACCTTGAAGTTCTGCAGAAGGAGAGATAGAGCTATAGCAATAATAAACCACCCAATGATACGATATCATTGCCTTAGTTTCTAGGTGCATTTTTACAGAATGAAAGATAGCCACATCCAGTGGATTTATGGTGGCGCTCAATTCCCCATATCCTTCCTTCCTTTTGTCCTCCTGCAGGTGCCTTGCAGTTTGTCGAAGTCACTGTCAACATCTTGGTGCTGATCTGCATAGGAGCAACACAGGCGGGGGTCTCCGGTTTCACTTCCCTGGGTGGCCTAGGCTCTTTCAACCTCAACTCAATGTATAGTCCATTTCAGGGGAGCGAACTGCAAGAGGTGACCGAGGTGGACATGCAGTACAGCCAGCTGAGAGCCCCTTGTGTGTACGGAGGGGTAGGCTTCAGCCTGACAATGATGTGCCTAACGCTTCTGTTTCTCATCGGTGGAGCAAAGCCGATTCATCGCCTTTCCCTTGGACTGCTTGCCGCTGAGTGTCTCTTCGACATCCTTGCCTGCCTTGTTTATATAGCAGCAGTTGGCCTCTATCTCCACTTCGTCATTCAAGTCAACGCCACGGATGTGTGCCTAAGGAGAGAAAGACTCTACGCAAGGCGAGGTTACACTTCAGTGAATTGCAGCGTGCAAGGTGGGGATGCTGCTGTGGCTCTTTTTGGCCTGGTGGCTGCTTGCCTGTATTTTGGGAGCTTTGTGGTCTGCATTCTCACCCTTCGAGAGGTACGGCTGTTTCAGAAGCAGCAGGACAATCGTTATCATCTCGAGAGACCCTACAGAGAAGAAGACCATCCGAAGCCCTATAGGGGCAAAGAAAACATACATGCCGAAAGGACTTTTGGCACACTTGTGTAATCTACACCAGGTATCTCAATGAAGTCAGACTAAAAAAAAAAAAAAAAAGGATTTTTTTTTACCCCAAAGGATAGTTGTATATAATACAATATCAAAGATCTATTTTAAAATTTATTCTTCCTAGCTAGGAACATAGTTCTGTAGTTAGTTCCATAACTATCTTTACAGAAAAAGGGAAGAAATTGCAGAAATTATTGCAAGGTGTGTTTGTTTTTTGCCTGGATATATGTTTTTTTTCACTAAGATCTCCTCTGTATCACTGTCATAAAATCCCACCTGGAAGTGTCCCTGAAATCACCAATGAACTTAGCTTGCCTTGAAGATATTTATCCATAACGATAGTGAGATAGTTATTGCAAAGATTGAATATGCGGAAGTTCAGTTATTTTAATTATGTATTGATTATCCTTGTAAATGACCCAGAAATCAGTTATTAGCTCCAGATTGAGACTTAATGGTGTTGACCCATCAACTCTATTATATTCAGAAATTTCTTCTTTGTAAGTGCCTGACTGAATAGGAAAACTGGGCAATAGTTCACTATCATTTAAGTACATTGATATAGTACACCTTGCCTGCCTTTGTGCTCTTAAAGGGCCTGAGACAATCACCTGCCATGTGTGTGTGTGTGTGTGTGTGTGTGTGTGTGTGTGTGTGTGTGTATTATTCTTAAGAGGATTTTCAAAAATAGAGCCAATAACAAAGTTGAAACAATGCTTGGGTCTTTTCTTTTACTTCCATTCTGGGAAATATTTGAGTGTCTGGACAATTTAAAATAGGAAAGACATTCTCTCCATATCTTCAGTGTTGTGTAGAAACTCTTCTCTTCAATGGTGTCAGGTGACCGAAAGTCAGAAAGCCCCCAGGAAAAGTATGGGGGGGGGGTTTTCCCAAATTAATTCATCCTAAATTAATTCAAAACCATTCTGTGTGTATGGGGGGGGGGCAGTCACTGGTCCTGGCCTTATTGCTTTTTAAATTGATAGATCAGCTTGTATAAACGGGTATAGCCATAATTTCCCAATTTCCAAGAAAGTCAGGAAAGATGAGACATTCTGGGCCCTGCCTGAAGCAGCTTTGTATGCTGCCTTTATAGAGCTTAAAGAGGGTTTTGATCCAGTATCTAAGGAAATGCTTTCATATTAATATTCTCAGCTAGGAACTGGGAGTTTGTGAGTTCTAGTCCCACCTTAGCCATCAAAAGCAGATGAGTGGCCTTGGGCCAGTCACTCTTTCTCTCCACCCACCTCACCTCACAGAGTTGTGGCTGTGGGAAAAATAAGAGGAAGAAGGCATTTTAGATGTGTTCGCCACCTTGAGCTGTTTATATATATATAAAAATAAAGATGTAAATTAAATAAGTCTCCCGGGGCTGCATCATCTCCACTCCTCATGCGTGCATTAAATTAGGATGCCTGTCTGAGGTTAAGCTACAATGCAACAGGACGTCTTTTCAAAGCCATTCCAAGCAGGAAAATGAGCAAACACCAGTTTCATTATTCAGTTTTTATGAGGAGGGTATTCACCCAAAGAACATTATGTCCCCAAGTATCTCAGAAACCTACTGCAACATTATAGTTTACTGCCAAACATCAGAAATTCCTGTAAGGTCTAAGGAACACAATGAAAGCTTTGCTTGCATCTGGAAGGATCATGCCCTATCCTAGCACAGGTGGGAGAACTAAGATTATGTACTTTGCAAACCTAGCCCTGGAGGATCGAGAGAGCAGTAAAGGGCATGCTTTAAATATTTCAGTTTTGTGTTTCAGTCTATAAGGAGGTGAGGTGCCTGTATTATTAATACTCATTGAACAAAAGAGTCCGGATGTGGAATCCCAACTCAAATAGAGAAGAATTTCTATAGATGTGGACCTTTCGTCACTTCGATTACACGTTCACAATGCTGCAGGGTCTTTAGCAAGGTTAACAAGAGTTTAGACCAGTGTTTCTCAACCTTGACAATTTTAAGGCATGTGGACTTCAACTCCCAGAATTCCACAGCCAGCAATGCTGGCTGTGGAATTCTGGGAGTTGAAGTCCACATGCCTTACAATTGTCAAGGTTGAGAAACACTGGTTTAGACTGTGCCATCAGTGGTTCTCGAGGGTAGAGTCAGAAAAATCATATTTATAAAAAGAACCTGCCCTCATTTTGTGGGAGCTTTTAAGTCTTTGGTTCATCTTATGCTCTACTGGGGCTTCTGTAATGTTCGCTTGGTTCTTTTCCCTAGCTGTCTCCCAGGAAGATAGATGAGTGCTAAAACAAAGCTTGTCATAGCAAAATTCTTACGAATTACATGGATGATTTAATCCCTCTTAAAAACAAACCACGCTACTGTAGTGCTAATATAAAGCGCTAAGTTCAACGTAATGTGGGTGGCAGATCATCTTACTATCAGTTATCTCTTTGTTAACAGTTGGGTAACAGCAACACACTACACATGGGGCTACCTTTGAAGGCTACTACCGGTATAGAATACAGTGGGCATAGACAGTTCTGGAGGCCCCAGGATGTCACATGTAACACTTCTTTGCATGAGCTGCAGTGGCTGCCAATTTGCTTCCGGGCCCAATTCAAGGTGTTGGTTATTAAAGCCCTTCATGACATGGGCTCAGAGAATCTGAGGAACATCTGTCCCCATTGGGATCGGCCCACCTCGCGCGTTCTAGCAGACGGGCTTACTGCCAATCAGGGAATTTTGGCTGGCAGAGTCTAGGACAGTCTGGGAGTTGAAGTCCACATGCCTTAAAATTGTCAAGGTTGAGAAACACTAGTCTAGGAGAAGAGCCTTTTCCATTGGGGCCCCTGCCCATTGGAACATTCTGCCACCAGAATCGAGATCTGTACCCGCCCTTCCAAAGAGCCTTAAAACTTGGCATTGTCCATTGGGCTCTATGCCGGAGATTATTGACAGGATAAGAGAGAAGACCCTCACCCCTATGCCATCCACCCCCCTGGGTTTTCATCCTCTAATTCAGTGGTTCTCAACCTGTGGGTCGGGACCCCATTTGGGGTCGAATGATCATTTCACGGGGGTCGCCAAACAAGGCTGTCCGCCATGTTTTCCCCCTTTTCTTTGGCCACGCCCCTGGCACCCGGTGATGTATAAGTGGTTGGGGGTCACCACAACATGGGGAACTGTATTATGGGGTCGCGGCATTAGAAAGGTTGAGAACCACTGCTCTAATTCTTTTAACTGTTTTTATATTGAACTTTTTATCATTATGTAAGCTGCCCAGATTCACTCCAATAGTGATATCGGGAACATATAAATTTAATAAATAAAATTAAAAAACAGTTTATCTGTTTTAACTACTGTGTTTTATTATCTTACTATTAATGATTGCAGCGAGAACCACTTTGGGGTAGGGGCTAAGGCGCCAAGCCTGAAACCTGGGAGAACTGAGTTCTAGGTCTGTCTTAGGCACAAAGGCATCTGGTTGATCTTGGGCCAGTCATTCTTTTGCAGCCCTCGGAAGAAGGCAGTGGCAATTTGCTTCTGAAAACGCTCCCAAGAAAACTATAGGGACTTGCTTAGGGAATTGCTAGAAGTCAACTCAAAGTCAGGTTTGTTTTTTTAAAAAAAGGCAATTGCAAATAGAAGTTCTGTTTTGAAGTTCTCATTGCACCTGACCATGCATTCAATTTCCAGCTGGGGCTGTGGAAATTTGCAATTCAATTGAACAATCATTACAATATTTCAACTTTTGAAAAGTTTTCAAAGTGAAGAATTATAGTTCCAACATTAGTGGATTGTTTTGTTTTTGTGTTTTTTTTTCAAAATTTAAGTTTAATTATAAAATACAAATAGAAACAAAAATCGAGAAAAGAAAGGAGAAATAGAAAAAGGAAAAGGCACAACGATATAGAAAGAAAAAAAAGCAATGACTTCTGACTTAATTTTCAGGACAGCAGAATACAAAAAGAAGTTCCAACCTCAACTTTTTACTTTGTGTTTCTATTAAAGCAGATGGTACAGGTAGCTCTTCACAACCACAATTGGGTCCAGAATCTCTAAGCCAGGGTTGTTAAATTGAGTTGTGCCCAGGTTAACAACCTTTTTGGCCACGGTCATTAAGCAAATCACTAAATAAATATGGTTGTTCAGCGAATATATCAGTGGTGGTGAACCTATGGCACGCGTGCCAGAGGCGGCACTCAGAGCCCTCTCTGTGGGCACGCACGCCATGCCCCGGAGATGGCAACTGACCCTCTTCAACCCAGCCACCTGCTAACTCGCCGAGGTCCACATGGCTAGATGCATCCCAGCACCCATGCGCTTGCTGGCCTCTGTGTGCGGGGGCGATGGTGTCAGGCAGCAGCCACCCTGGCCCCTGCCTTGCCCTGCGACAATGGCTCCCCTGCCCTGCCTTGCCTTGCCTCACCCCGCAGGATGAGCCTCCTGCCCACTGCGCCATCTGCCCGGCCCGCACAGGTATCCCTCCCCACGAGCAACATTGAGGTGATCACGCCCACCATGGCTACACCCACCCAGTCTGCCATGAGCACCACAGCCACGCCCACCCAGTGGGCCACACCCACCTGGCACCCGGCGATAAGTGGGTTTTGGGTTGCAGTTTGGGCACTCAGTCTCTAAAAGGTTCGCCATCACTGGAATATGTGTTCGCCCATTGACTGCTTTTTTAGAAGATCCCTGGGAAGGTTGCAAATATCAGATGACCCCAGGACACCACAACCATTGTAAGTACGTGCCGATTGCCAAGTGCCTGACTTGTGATCATGTGACCACAGGAATGCTGCGGCAGTGGTAAGTGCAAGGACCGGTTGTAAGTCACTTTAACCAGCTCTTTTGCAGTTTTGAAACCGTTGTCAAACAAATGGTCATCAATCAAAGACCACCTGTGTTGGGGAGGCTCTTAATAGAGATGAATTCCCATCCACTCTGGGCTCTTCCCTTAACACGGGATGGAGATCAGACTGGCCATTCCTTGTGGAAGAATAGAATAGAATAGAATAGAATAGAATAGAATAGAATAGAATAGAATAGAATAGAATAGAATAGAATGGAATAGAATATAGAATAGAATTTGGAAGGGACCTTGGAAGTCTTCTAGTCCAGCCCTCTGCTCAAGCAGGAAATCTATACCATCTCAGGTGATTGTCCAGTCTCTTTTTAAAAACTTCCAGTGATGGAGCGCCCACGATTTCTGGGGGTAAGCTGTTCTACTGGTTGATTATCCCGTCAGGAAGTTTCTCCTTAATTCCAGGTTGCTTCTTTCTTTGATCAGCTTCCATCCATTGTTTCTCGTCCTTCCGTGCTCTGGTGAACAACCTGATTCCCTCTTCTTTGTGACAGCCCCTCAACTACTGGAATACAGAAACTACCTGGGAAGAACGGTCCCACCACCGTCTTGCTTTCTTCCTCAAAAACATTTTAAACCATCCATCAGAATCCGTTTTGGCTGCCTCCAAGGGTTATGGTTGTTTAGTCCCAATCTTCCTGGGTAGGCAGTAGGAATTTTTCTTAGGGAATGGGAACGTTGCATGGCAGAGTGGCTCCGGGCTGAGTCCTCTCCAATTCTGTTCATCGCTCATATGACGCTCCGGGGGAGGTCATCCGTCAGTTTGTGTAGCGATATTGTCAATCTAAAATAAAACTCTACCTACTATTACAAGGCCACAAGCTACGGCATTTGGTGAAGCATTTGACATCCTTGTTCTCTTGTCATACAAAAAGAAGCACATTCATAGTGACTCATCCCTAGATCAAACTGATTCTGTTTAGCACATTATTATAGCAAGAAAAAAACCCATACATTTTATTGCTTTCCTCTGTGTGAATAGTTTCCACGCAATATGTAACATGTTTGGATTATAATTTCCGAGAAAATCTCAGCTTTAAATCTTTTAAAATTGAATTTTTCCTTCTCTTCCCTCCTTGGCATTGTTAAAACATCATCCTTTAAGTCCTACATGGATTCCTGCTCAACTTCTCTCTCTTTTATCTCCCAGTCTTTTACATTTTTTTCCTTTTATCTTCCTTTTCCCTTGTCTCCTCTCTTTCTTCCTCAGTTGTCTTTCTCCCTTTGTATTCTATCCAATCCCACAGAATAAAGGAGTCCCTGTGGATTTTACTCCACTACTCATTACTGACTCTAGGGGGCAGTGCTCATCTCCATTTCAAGGCCATTGAGCCACTGCTGTCTGAAGACATTTTGGCAGTCATGGGGCCAACATGATGCCACTGAACACTGTTAGCATCCAACGGAATGCTAGAATGAAACTATGTAAAGGAGCTTGGCCATTGTCTACCCTCAGAAGGACAAAAAATGGTCAATATATAAGATGTATACTGAAATGGAAGTAAATTAGAAGGCCACCCAATAATTTGAATTACCTGCTAGGGAACTTACCATATTTTACTCAGAATCCTATGGAATGCAAAAGAAGGGCTTGCAATTTGGTGTAGTGATTATGATGTTGGAGTAGGGAAGCCTTGGTTCCCTCCCTCTCCCATGGCCAGGAAAGAACAGTGATCTACATTTAGTCCAGTGGGAGTTTCCAGTTACCCTTGTTAAGCAAGGACTTCACATAATCACAAGTTTGATTTCCTACCAGCTTCCCCATTGCCTTTACTTATGGGAAGCTAGCAGAGAAGGTTGCAAATCAGGATCATATGACTGGGGTGTGTGTGTGCAGTTTGAACTTCAAGGACCAATTCTAACTAGTATTCAGTGCCATCACAAATTTGAACAGTCAGTGAATAAGTGGTTGTTAAATGAGGACCACTGGTACCTATTTAAAATATTTGATTGATATGAACCCTCTCAATCTATGAATTCACTTCATATTGATCTAAAAGAAAATGGGCTAGTATCTATGTGGTTACTGTTTATAAATCAAGTTATTTTTTATATGTGCATGTTCTATGAATCCTGCTCTACATACTATGCCTTATATTCTATATACTTTCTTCTATACTTTTGTGTTTATTCTTTTTTACTTATTTTCTGTATACTAACAGCAGTAACAAAGTTAAGAAGAAATCACAGTGCTTGGGTACAAATAAGGTACAATGACATGAAATTCTAGTGTGGGGTTGCAGTTTAGGGCTTCTGAATGTAAGAATGAAATTAAAATTCCAGGATCAGGAAAATGATTTCTAAAAATATTCTCCACTGCCAAAGCAAGCCAAAATAGTATTTCTCAAAAAATTAACATTGTTTTTTCTAATAGATAATGGGGTTCGTTTTGTTTTACATTACTCCTATTGACCATTCCATTCAACTAACTAGAATCTTCCTCCATACCACAGAAAACTGATATTGCTTTCTGTCTTTTACAACATACCTTGATCCCTCCCTGCCCAAGCCCAATTCTAGGCTTGTTCCATTATGTCATGTGTATCTCATATGATAAAGTTGGGAACAAAGTAAAACTGGAGGTTGAGCCCAAATTTGAAAAAAAAAAAGTCCACTTTCATTCAATCCTTCCCATGCAACTAAATGTCCTTTCCACAACTTAACTTTGTGTTATACTCAGTTTTTATTCCAAAAAGCTCAAGGCTCCTGACCTATTTATTCTCAGTTAGAACTTATATATGTTAGCAGAGGTTGGATGCTACCAACTAGCCCAAGATCGTTTAATGAGATTCATGGCTCTGTGCAGCTTTGAACTCAAATCTTTCACCATCTATTCTTGTATTTCCAGTGTGTTGGCAATATGGCAATTTCCACAATTTCTTCTTGACAGCGAAATACAATCTTCTTCACTCTTGAAATAAGACAGGCGAGAGTATCTTTCCTTCATTCTAACATGAGAATTCTTTAATATTGAGGACAGGGTAATGTTAGTTTACTTTATCAACTATTGCAATAAAAAATATGAGAATTTGAACTTTTCACTGTCGAGCCTGCAGAATATATACATGCATATGTGTGTTTGTACAGACATACCAGAAGCCCGCAAATATTTGTAAATTTTTATATTTATTATAAGAAAAATTATGACATGTTCATTTGTGCATTCTTCTTTAATATAACTCTTGGTATGTAAATGATCTACAGTAAATGAACTCTATACAATCATGCTGGTTGTTGTTGTGACAGCAGGGAAGAACACACAAAAATGTGCCAAAAAAGTTAATGGTGAAGACTGAGGAAAAAAATTAACACAAGGACCTGTAGCCCACTGAAGTCTACACAGCTTGTTACAGCTGTTCCTGCTAATTTTGTATGGATCAGAATCCAAAAATGTCATCACTTGTGGGCAACCTCATATGAGAACACAGTCCCCCCCCCTCCCCGGTGACTTGGGCCCAGCCAAATCAAATGGCAACCGGACATGGTGGTATAGACACAGTAGGTCATCAAGGCCTCACGTATTTCGTCACTTCACCCGCTGAGAGGGCTATAAGTTGACAGGATTTTCCTACCCTCCCAATTTGGTAGCATCGATGGTAGCTTTGACATACATGCGAAAGCTTCCGGGTGTAAATGGAAACGGGGGAGGGGCAATGTCAGTTTACTAGGTTGTGCCCTCCTGCCAGGTCTACCCCAAAAAAAACAACAAAAAAACATGAAGCATCTCTATACAACACTGAGTTATTTACAGGAATTTCCCAATCAGCTGTTCTCTCAGAGAAAATTAGTGAGTCTCAGTGACTTAAAGTCACCTGAAAGAGTAAAAGCAACTCCTAGGAGTTAGTCTCCATAATTCTACAAATGTCTATCCATTTTCAAGACCAAAAAAGCCTTTTTTTTTCTCTCAAAGAAATACAGTATTACAATATTACTTAATCATTGAGCACTGGCAATACTGCCCTGTTTTCCAAACAGACAGAGGAAAAAAAAGAACAATTTTAAAAAATATTACATCAACATCGTCATCAGTTTCTTTGTAATATATTAAACCTTTTGCATTTTAATTTTTCTCCACTTTTTTTTTTACACATCTGATATGTTAAGGAAGGGGACGAGTTAAACTAGATTAATTTCTAACCAGTGAAGCATCACTAGAAAAGGGGGGGGGAAGAGAAAATAAGGTTGGTGATCATTACAGCTAACAAACAAGAAGCAGCTGCACTTCTCAATTAAAGGGAAAGATCTGGACAAGAAAGTGGGAAAAAAAAGCTTTCTTCCTTCCTCACCTCATTAGTGTAATACAAACCTAAGGAGCTTCCAGCTCTTAATGTCTTGTTAGCTTGTTTCCCAAAGCGCCGTCATAGTGGTGTGTCGTAATAATCGGGCAGTTGGTCCAGCTGATATTGACGTTGTTGCTGCTGCTGCTGCTGCTGCTGCTGTTGTTGTTGCTGCTGCTGCTGCTGTTGTTGTTGCTGCTGCTCATGATGTTGCTTCATTATCTCCTTCACCTCTTCCTCAAGCTCTGGTGGGATGATGAACTGATCATCTGGATCTGGCTGAGCTGGAGCGGCAAAATAGCCCCCCGTCTTCCTGAGTGGCGCATCGGCTGCTACTTCAATTAGGTTGTGGCTCCTCTCCTGAGGAGCCACTGAGCCATTGCCTCGGCGGCGCCCAATAGTGCCAGTGGCAGAAGAGTCGGCCTTTCGAAGGAGGCAGGCGTCTTCTTCATTCGCCCCGATGACGATGCCCTCGTCACTGACTTCCACCGGGGCCTGCAGCAGCAACTGCTTCTCCTTGGCCCGACCACAATGGATGTCCACTTCCACTTCAACTCTGCTGCCATTGGAAAAGACCCCTTCGATTGGCTCCTCATCATCGCTGTCAAGGCCATTGTCTGAAAAGGCGCTGGAAAACGTAGCGCTGGACAGTTGCCTTTGGAAGGAGTTGGAGAGGCAAACTGGGTGGAGCATACAGCGCTGTTCATTAGGGTAAGCGGGGCTGTTTTCGTTCATAGTTACATGAGGTGGCTCGTCAGAGGCCGTGGATCCAACCTCACTGCTCATTTCGGAAGTGGAGATCTCGCTGCTGATCTCAGAGGCCATGCCACTGCTCGACGAAGGCATCCCCAAAGCATCAGAAGGCTTATCTTTGATTATTACGTTGACAGACTGAGGGAAGCTGCCCGGGCTGGGAGGGACCCCGTTTAACTCACAGCAGCAGAAGCTATCCTCAGTTACATTGAGCTGAACCACCACGGCACTGAGGCTATCGTTGCAGCCATAGCTCTGAGCCAACGTGCAAAGTTTCTTGGCAGCTCCAAGGGCATCGGGCACGTTCCTGACAGCCTCCACAGCTTCGTCGATGGAGAGACTATCCCACAGGCCTTTGCTGCCCAGAATGAAGAATTCGTCCTGAGGAGTCAAAGTAATGGACTGCACGTGGGGGCGTGGAACAACACTTGGGTGAAGGAAGGTATATCCCAAAATCCTTGTTGAGTCTGTTACACCATTCACTTTGCCATCCTAGAACGAAGGGACAAAAAAAAATATGTTAATTTAATGTTTTTTTAAGCGCTAAATAACCAGCTGTTACTTGGTGGAGAGAAGGGATAAGGTTTGAGTAAAGAGTTGGATTTAGAATCAGTCCAAGCTGTTGGTACCACTGACTGGTGTGGGTCATCATTCTGGTCCACTTACAACTCATCCAAGAGAAATACAAAATTTGCAATGTCTAATAACTTTAAAATGGATGTCTAATAGGACGTCTAATAACTTTAAAAGAGACAGGGAGGGGCTCTGTGACTTCAGAATAGAGCATCAATGTCAGTCTAACAGCAGGAAGTGATTTTTGTTAGAAGTGGTTAAAGGGGGAAGGGAACCTTATGATATCTCCCTTCCTGACACTTTGAGATGTGATGTTGAATTCCTATTACTAATAGCAATAGAGCAGTGGTTCTCAACCTTTTTAATGCCGCGACCCCCAACCGGTCGTAAGTCGAGGACTACTCAACCGGTCGTAAGTCGAGGACTACTCAACTGGTGCAGCACCGTTTGCAGAATGGGACTTTTGGCGGGCTCAGCAGGGCAGAGACAGCCTGGACAATTCCTATTGGCTTTTGAAAGCCAATAGAATTAGACTCTATTCAAGAGAGTCTATTCTATTGGCTTTCAAAAGACAGCTAAGGAAAAGGGGGAAAAATGGCGGACTGTGTTGTTTGGCGACCCCCATGAAATGGTCATTTGACCCCAAATGGGGTCCCGGCCCACAGGTTGAGAACCACTGCAATAGAGAATAGATCTGCGGCATGACTGATATTGGGCAGATTAAAATAAAGGGCTTTTCTGCACTACTTTCTCTGTGCAGATCTTTCACATTTGAAGTATGCAAAACCTTTCAAATTCAAAACATTCGGACCTCGAAAGCCTGTTTTGAGCTCAACTTTTTCTGATGTCCAACTTTGGCAAATTTAGGACTTGTGAACTTTAACTCCCAGAATTCTCCGGCCGACCATCTTGTGGAGCTGAAGTCCAGAAGTCTTAAAAGTTGCCAAGGTTGGACACTACTGTTCTACATGAATTGCGCCAACTTTACCAAAAGTGTTCCAATGTTCAGTTTGTCTGGAAATGTTCTGAGTATGAACAAGACCTTTTCTGAACTTCAAATGTTTTTTATTTTGAAATGTACTGTACACTTCTACTTGTTACGGCTTGTGGGAAAACAGCAATCCACAATGGGCCAACTGACCAGTTTAACAACCACTGTTCTTTGAAAAATTATTTGCCACTTCTGCATTTTTGGAATTTTTGCATCTCCATGTCATTGAATATTATCATTTCTTCTGAATTCTATAGATATATACCACCTAGAGCAGGGGTAGGCAACCTTGGCTCTTTTATGACTCGTGGACTTCAACTCCCAGAATTCCTGAGCCAGCATGCCTACCCCTGACCTAGAGTATGTTGAGACTGAGAAGGTAGATCGCTCAACCAATGCTTGGTTTCTGTGAAACATAACACCACTCATTAATCAATGAGTTCCACATATTTCTGTAAAATATCCCAACGGAGGTCTGGGTGGTTTGTGGCAAACTAGAAATGAGCATCAATGTTCTGGTATTTGCCTTGCTACTTTCACACAAATTCCACTTTGCCTGATACTTTTCTAAACACTCTAGCCATGGCTAGAGAAGCAAGCAGATTCCTGAATGTTGTTCTGAAGTTCTCTGTGACTTCCTGGACAATTTTATGCTGCGAGCTTGGCATGATTTTTTTTTCCAGGATTGCCACTCTTGATAAGATTTGCTATTGCCCTAAATCATCTCCATCTCATGAATACGACACTGACTGTGTGGATTGGTGCTGGAGCTTTACAAGTGATGGTGTAAAAAGGAAGCCTTCAGAAATGTCTTTTTAAGGGACAGAACACATCTCTGGAATCTACATACGAAGAACTTCACAGTGATGAAGGAAGTCAAAGTTTATACAGTGCATACTTCAATTTTTATTGTTTACTGAAGTACTCGCATAACTGGCCCTAGTTATCCCTTTAACTGGATGGATTTTAGACTCTGGCACCCCACCTATTGGATGGCATCATTAATGATAGAAATATCACAGGGTGATTTCGAAGAAATCCCTTTCTATGTTAGTAGGAAGCCCTACGTGATGATGAAGCTCTGGTAACATTCAGTGGCAAAAGAGATGCAAAAGAAACACAAACCGTAAAAGTGGGTATTTTTTCACAGAGAAAAAAATGGCAATGCCAACTGCATGAAATAAAGCAGCAACTTGCTCACCTAAGCAGGAATTCAGGACCCTACAAGTGGTGTCGACTTAACAACTGTAATTGAACCCAAATTGAATCCAAAATTTCTGTGACTAAGCAAGACAGTGGTTAAGTGAGTTTTGCCACATTTTATAACCTCTCTTGCCCTAGTTGTTAAGTGAATCACTGCAGTTGTTAAGTTAGTAACACCGTGGTTAAGTGAATCTGGCTTCTCCATCGATTTTGCTTTGAAAAGGTGATCACATGACCTCCAAAAGTCATAAAATGAAGTGTACCAAGTGTGTGAATTTTGATCATGTGGGCATGAGGGATGCTGCAATGGTGCTAAGAGTGAAAAATGCTCATAAGACACCCTTTTCAGTCTGTTGTAACTTCCAACGGTCACTAAAGGAATTGTTGTAAGTCAGGGACTACCTGCACTCAGCACCACATAATTCTTAACATACCATCCCTATACATGTGGCTTGTGCACTGCACAATATTAAATGAAGACAAAATTAACAGGTTGTGGGTTTCTTTTCTATAGCCCTACCATACCAAAGTCATATTTCTATGCTTTAAAAATGCAGATTTACCGTAAACATATAGGTTGGAAAAGGAAATGAATTATGCCTGTACTCTTTTTGTTTTCAGGAAATTGCTCTGCAGAAAAACTGTTTTCACATGCCCCAATTACATTTTTTTTCCAGATATGTTATACTTCCCCTCAGGTAAAAAAAGATTAATATCAGAAAGGGAAAACATTGTTGTTGTTTTTTTTTTAAAAAATTATAAGTAGTACTTGTATTCTTAAGTTCTGGTTTGGTTTGACTTGAAACAAAATCAGGGAATTTTTAACATCCTGTATTCATTTAAAGCCTGGATCAAACATGAAAAGGAAGTAGGAATGGGGAAAGAGGAAAGTAAAACTGAAGGAAACATCTTTAGATGCTTTAATTTTAAAAATGTTATAAGGGGTAGAAATGTGCAAAATGAAGAAAGTAACTTTGGTTTGGGCAGGATACCTCTGATATTAATATTATGGGCATTGTAGTTACTGTCCATAACAGCATTTTAGGAAACTTTGCCTTATAGTTCTTTTAGGAGGACTTCCCAATGATCTTGGTTTTTCTTCAAACTCTGGGATAGTTTGATGGTAAAGCTATTTGATGCATGTTTCATGAGGGATTAACATATATTTTCTCTCTTATGTGAGGTTTCTTCTCTGTTCAATTTTGTCCATTTTTTAAAAGACATTATATTGATTTTTCGGTATATGTTGTCCAGAGTCACTTTTGAATTGAAGTGTCCTTATAAATCTAAATTATATATATCTACCTGCATACGTGCATTTATAAAAATATAGTATGGTATGGCATGGTATGGTATGGTACAATACGGTAGAGTAGAGTAGAGTAGAGTAGAGTAGAGTAGAGTAGAGTAGAATAGAGAGTAGAGTAGAGTAGAGTAGAGTAGAGTATAGAGTAGAGTAGAATAGAATAGAATAGAATAGAATAGAATAGAATAGAACAGAACAGAACAGAACAGGTTTATTGGCCAGGTGTGATTGAACACACAAGGAATTTGTCTACAGTGCATAAACTCTCAGTGTACATACAAAAAACAAAGTGATAGATCATAGATCATAAATCATATTTACAATCATTAATCGTAAGAATGTAGGCAAGAAGTCAGAAGGAAATTCTGCCTTATCGGCAGGGTTCGGAAACAGATTTGTAAAAAAAACACCTATATTTTATTACCCTAATCCCTCCCTCCGTCACCCTCACTGGAGCTGATAACCCAATGTCTTACTTCTGTAATAATGGCCTTGTGCTGCTTGATTCTCCTCAGCTCTTCCTCACAGCTCATCATGTAAGACCTAGACAAAGGCAGAGGCTTCCCGTTCCTGCAGAGAACGGATTGGCACTTTCCCACATTTGCTGAGGTTAATGTGAAGCATCCACCTGGATCTAATGGGTCGTGTTTGATGTGGCAAAGGACAGCAGAGCCTCCAAGCTTCTGCCCAGCAGTTCCAAGCTTCCTGAAATTTCATGAAAACAACACAAAGAGGTTAAATAGGGAGAAGCAATGATCATGCATATAGAATTAAGGCCAACACACACACACTTATTTTCAAGATTCAGCAGAAAAAGTGAGGAATTCATACCCAGAAAGCAATTACGACATCTACAACCAGAAATTTGATGCAGTCCATTAGAGCTGATGACAGAAAATTTAAAACAGTTCATGGTTTAGTGCTCAGCCAGATGGTAGCAGTAGTTAACCTTGGCTGATTTTCAAAAGCTAAGCAGTGCTGGGCCTTGTTAGTAACCAGATGGGAGACAACTAGGACTTCTAGGGCTGTAGGCCCAACTGGAAAGTTGTTTTTTTTTTTTTTTTAAATTCCAGAACAGAGATATATTCTTGCCAATATGTTTATGAAGTCACTAGGTGTTGACATTCTACCTGAAGATTATTTTTTACAGTTTATTAGTACAGTCTGCGTGGCTCCTTGATTAGTTTCCTGACCTTTCCGGTTAAATAACTACATTAGTAAGAAATAAAAAAAAAAAACCTTCTTCAGTGCTCTGAGGGCCAAAGCCATTCTGGTGTCCTCCAGCTTGGAGGATCACAGAACAGAGGCAACAACACTGTGCCATGTATGTAAACAGGCCAATTCAATACCAGGTATCTTCCAACGTTCCTAAGGTTGTGCTCAAAGTGAATTCCCCTCAGAAAAAATTGAAAACCTGATATTCCAATAGCTCAAGAATAGGGGTGCCCAAAACGTTACTGAATTGAGATAGTTTTGATATTTACAATTCTGTTTGAGTGCAAAACAGCCACTTCAATTATTCTGGAAAAGTTTTAGCCTTGAAACAGTTCAACTTCACACTTGAAACTAGAGTGTTCCAAATTTGAAACAGTTCAAATTTTTTAATGCTTTGCATGTCCCTCCTCCAGAACTTTTTTGTATCCAGGGGTAGACAACCTTGGCTCTTTTATTTATTTATTTTAATTTTTATTAAGTACAAAGAAAGAAAGGATTAAAAACATTGACCATGGTAAATCGTCTTTGGCTGACATTTCACTCCATATTGTACACTAATTACATATAATATACCTATATACAACTATACATTTCTAGTCTCTACCTCAGTTTATCTCTTTACTGTGACCTCCATTTTTTTCCCTCCATCTATAAAATTTATTTCATATTCGATAAAATTCTGTTTCTTCCTGATTTTTTAATCTTTTGGTTATCCTATCTAATTCTGCACAATACATAATTTTCTTTATTAGTGCTTCCCCACTCGGTACTTCCATTGCTTTCCACTTTTGAGCAAATAGTATCCTTGCTGCTGTGACCATATGGATAATTAAATATGGGCCCTCTTTATTTACATTTTTCTCTAGCATTCCTAATAGTAATGTCTCCGGTTTGTATTGAATGTTTTGCCTAGTCATTTCTATTTCCCAATCCCAGACCATACGCCAGTACACCTGTGCTTCTCTACATGTCCAGCAAACATGAAAAAAGGTGCCCTTTTCTTTTTCATGTATGGTGGACATGTAGAGAAGCACTTGTGGACTTCAACTCCCAAAATTCCTGAGCCAGCACGGTAATTTTCTTGAAAGGCTTTTCTATTTAATGACAGAAGGCCTGAAGAAAGTCCCGGGATTCAGTCTGTGTTCTCTGCTGAAGGAATAATACCGTATTTTCCGGTGTATAAGGCAACCCGGCGTATAAGACGACCCCCGACTTCGGTGCCGATTTCCATGCCTAGAAAGTCGTCTTATCCGCCAGAAACTACGGTAATTTCCGGCGTATAAGACGACTCGGCGTATAAGATGACCCCTGATTTCGGCGCCGATTTCCATGCTTTAGAAAGTCGTCTTATACGCCGGAAAATACAGTACATTCACTGGTAAAGATTTTTCTTGAAAGCTGCAGTCAGGCAGAATAGATAATTCCAGGCTGTATGTCAATGCTCTGAGTCCCAGGTAAGTCATTTTCAACATTCACAGCTGACGTGGTATGTAAGAATGTCAGTTCTTGTCTCATGTGAAAACTCAGATGCTAGCAGGACCTTTGTATGCACATGATGCTGTGCCAATCCAAATCGGACTCTCGAGAGGAACAAGTGAAAAGGGACCTCAACAAGAGTGAAGAAGAAATGGGACAGTTCAGGATTGGAAAAATACATCCTTGCTTATCTTTACAAATATCAGCTTTGCGAATACAAACTGACCTCTGCATTACAATGAAAGTGTTGATCATGTACTCCTCTTCGTTCTTGGTTTTCTGCAGCTCTTCTGCCAAGATATCGCTCATGGTACATTGTAGAAGGTAGGGTATTTCCACGTTGCGATCCCCATCAAAGACTCCATAGAGTGCCTCCCTGTTCTCACAGAAGTTATTGGCAGAAAGAGCTGCCACACATAGCCTGCCGGGACAGTAAATAAATAAATAAAGGCATGGAACAATCCAACCAACTTACCATGAGGGCGAGTGGCAAATTTTCAACAAAGCTATCTCCATCACTGTGAAATCAAGTTTCACCCCTACATTTTCTAGCTATTAACAGCTTTCACGTTTCGTGCAGTTCATTTGAAAACAAAGGTCTTCATCCGAAAGAGGATGGAGAATGTAGGGCTTTGTTGAAAAATCTGAATCCATCTAAAAAAATTCTACAGTAGAAGCAAAATAGTGTATCTCCTATTCTCTCACCAAACTAATTATACGTGTAATCAATCTACTGGCCTTTTTGCCACACAGTACTTTGTTGCAGAACAACTAACAATTCCTTTGGGCATGACACAGAAAAAGCATTGGGCATTAATATCAAGAATATGTAACATATAAATAGAAAATCACCATCTCATTTTTTACTTATGCAAACTCTACAAACAATAAAGGACAAGACACATTGGAATACAGTTATAGATTGTTAACTCAGTTATTTTTCCATTCAGCAAATTACCTGACATGAAGCAATAAATGGAAGAGACAGAAAAACATTTTAGCTTAAATAGCATTCATCCTCTAGACCTATGTACAAGTGTTGTTGCTGTTCACTGTGACTACTCTTTGCCCTTTTTGGCAACCATCACCACCTCTTTAAATTGTATTCCTGATTATTATTATATTTGTCTCTTGCCTTTCCTTAAAGCAGGTATGTCAAATTGCTAGCCTGCGGGCCGGATGCGTCACGCCAAAACCACACTCACCCCATTGCCGGCAACGGGGAAAAAGTCCCGATATGTCGCAACGTCATGAGTTTGACATGCTTGCCTTAAGGCATTCAAGGCAGCACATAAGGAGAACCCTCCTAATTTCATTCTCACATCTTGGAGTAGTGAAATATTGACTAGTTCAAAGTCATGCTGCGATGCCCATGTAAATTGTGTTTGTCAAATGCAGAATTCCATTCAGAATCTTGGAGGTGTAGTTTTAAAAGAAAAAAAAAATGGCAAATTTCAGCCTATTGCCCATTCTTGCCAGAGGTTAAGGCCTAAATGTATTCTTTTACTCACTACCACTCCTGATGACCACCAAACTCAGAATTATGCAGTAAGGAACAAAAGACAAATAATTCCATTTTCAAAAAATGAACACAGAACATTTAACTTTTTATCATAGTCACATGGCTCTACTAGTTTTTTCCCCCCAGTCATTCACTCTTAACATCACTGGGTGTATATTGTATGGACAGGCTTTTATTTTCAAACTCATCCTTGTTAATTTGGGTTTGTTTGTTTGCTTCATGTCATTAGCTTTCCTTTTGTACCAGAGAAAAAAAGTCTCACAATAGTTCTTTGGAGGATAAGCAGAGCCATTTAGATAATGATGAAACAATCAAAAGAGATTCTTACAGAAAGGGGGATATAATAAATGAAGAAACCCCAGGAAAACAGCTCATGGTTTTGATCTGAAAATTGAAAATATTTCAATCAGCAGGGAATGTGACGTGTCTAGACTGCAGGACTCTGCAGATAGGCTTGATTCACACATTTCATTGTTTCACTTAATCATTATGTATAGAATAACGGACGAGTGGCCAGGTTCACATAAGATAATCCACAAACCTTGCTTATAGACCTCAATGGCTAAAATAGCTAATCCAGAAAACAAGCAAACCACATTCTTACTTAATGCAACCTGTTAATTTCATTAAGCAAGAATAACTTGCTACCAAGGCAACAGATGTCACACAGCCTCTACTGAGACCCAGGTACTTACAAGGATAAAATGAAGAGAGGAATATGTGTAAGTTAAAGACTGTCAATATTTCATTTTCATTGCCATGAAGATTCAAGGTGTTCTTCAATAATAGAGACGGCATGGTTTCAGTGCCAATACCCCGAAAACATGACTGGGAATGAACTACTAGTGCCCCCATATCCTGCTTGTAGCCTTGGCCTCTAACTAGGTTTTTTGGATTGTGGGAGATACGTGCTTCAAAGACTCAATTAAATCAGACACTTTCTTCAACCCATATCCAATATCATTCTCAACAAAATCTAGCATCTCAGCAGCAGCAACTCCATAAGATGTGTTTTCTCATGTATGAAGCTATTTTGGGACACCTTATCAAATATACGTTACTTTAATTTTAAAACAGACTCAACCATAGTTTCAACTGGGAAACTGGGAGCATTGTAGACCAAGCTAAATCCAAAAACACTAGAGAATTCCTGGAAGTTTGGCACTCAGACACTTCAGCCATTAGCAAGCCCATACAGATGAACAACATTTATATATCATTCAAAAGACACAATAAAAAAGCTATAAAGACCAGAACACCTTTTACCAGTAATCAGCACCCAGATAAGTGGGGATTAACACCAAAGAATCAAGCGGTAAACAATAATATAATCAAAGCAACAAACAATCAAGATCACGTGAAATGTTAATACCACTTTACAATGCCTTGGTAAGGCCACACTTGGTCACCACGATGTAAAAAAGATGTTGGGACTCTAGAAAGACTACAGAGAAGAGCAACAAAGATGATTAGGGGACTGGAGACTAAAACATATAAGGAACGGTTGCTGGAATTGGGTATGTCTAGTCTAATGAAGAGAAGAACGAGGGATGACAGGATAGTAGTGTTCCAATATATCAGGGGTTGCCACAAAGAAGAGGGAGTCAAGCTATTGTCCAAAGCACCTGAAGGCAGGACAAAAGCAACGGATGGAAACTGACCAAAGAGAGAGCCAACCTAGAACTAAGGAGAAAATTCCTGATAATGAGAACAATTAATCAGTGGAACAACCTGCCTCCAGAAGCTGTGAATGCTCCAACACTGGAAGTCTTTAAGAAGAGATTGGACAGCCATTTGTCTGAAATGGTATAGGCCAGGTTTCCTGCCTGAGCAGGGGTTGGGCTAGATGATCTCCAAGGTCCCTTCCAACTTTATTATTATTACCAACTCAGATAAAAAAATTCAAGCATTAATTGGAATACGAGCCCTGATTCCTGATTAAGGAACTACCAAGAACAACATATCCCCACCAACACTGATAGCAAAAGCTACTGTTATATATAAAGAGAGAGCAAATGCCATTCCCTTCCAATACTATAGATCAGTGATGGCGAACCTTTTAGAGACTGAGTGCCCAAACTGCAACCCATTGGGTGGGCGTGGCCCATTGGGTGGGCATGGCTGCAGTGGTAACAGCAGACTGGGTGGGACTAAAAAGTTCAATCAATTCCAACTTTGCAAGATTTTTTTTTCCCGTGAGAAGTTGAAATTGAAGATTGAACCTTTTTTTTTTTTTTTTTGCACACGGCGGCGGAGGCCTAAAGCGAAAAGGTTTTATAAAACCCAGCTAAAGGCCTAGGATTGGGGCAACGGCGTGCGTGCCCACAGAGAGGGCTCTGAGTGCCACCTCTGGCACCTGTGCCATAGGTTCGCCACCACTGCTATAGATGTTACTTAGTCTGGTAACAAAACGTCCGCAAGAAAATAATCAAGCTTGGAGGGCATCAAGGACTCCACATTTCCACACTATAGGAAAGCAATACAAATGTAACCTTGGGAACCAATCCCCAAATGGAGCATTATAAATAGAAAAGATATATAATTTGCATTTAAGGCTTTTTTTTTTTCAAGCGATATCTGGCGAATTGCCACTCAAGAATTCCACTGTATTGTGAAAATGAGGAATAGCTTCAAGTGAACAGATTCACTTTTGTAAATCGGTGAGCTCAATTTCATAGCGCCTATTCAAAAGTGCCATATCCGTACCCGACACACTCTCCTTATTTATGTGAACATAGGCACGTGCAAGAATTCACCACTCTGCACGCAGAGAAGGTTCTTCCTCAAGCTCCTTTAGTGTACATAGATAGATAGTAAGCTCCCCTCAGTCTGTTATCATCTCAGCCATTCAATACATTTTTCTTCAAAGGCTTGCCCTATTTAAATTTGGATCAGAGGGGAAGGGGGAGGGGAGATGGCCTGATATGACTTATCTGAGTATACTGCAATGCTGAGGAAGTCATATTTGTTAAAGCTGTCAGAAATACTAACTTGTGTAGGAAACATAACCGATAAAGACTAAATAACCCATGCAGCTTTTAAAAAAGAAAGGGGGGGGGCATCCTTGAAGGAATGACGCCCAGTGTTAGTAGGCCTGGAATGTCTCAGTTTTGCCACCTGGGTTAAAAATAGCTCCCTAGAAAAGAATGTGAGGAATGGTAGCTGTGCCAAGTTGTAAGGAACTTCAAAAGCAGCTTAATTGATCCTCCCTCTAACAGGAATGCACAAGCTGACACTTTGGCACCTTCAAAATGTGGCTACGGAACATTTTCTTTTTTGCAGGGCAAAAATGAATAAATACAGAGAAAGCCATATCAATATTAAGCTTAACTGAATATATATCAGATCAATCCACTTTCAGACTTGGCCTTGTCTAGTACACCATTTCATTCTGAAAAAATGTGTATGGCCTACTCTAAAAGCATAGAGAGTGCTTTACATAAAGAGTAGAGCAGAGGTGGCAACATGGCCACTACCAGGACACCACCAAATGGCTCCCCCCCACCTCCCCATTTATACACACATGCACACACAACTAGTGAGCGTGTTAAGATTAAATCTTTTTTTTTAAAAAAAATAGATATTTTTATTTTAATAGGTATGCTTGTTTATTTTGTACCCCTGAGTTTTTACATGGCTGCCTGCTGCCTCCCAAAAATGCTGTTACATTTATCATCCCTCCAGATCTGGTTGTTCAGTAGCCCATCCAATGCCCTGGTTAAGCTACATCTGACAGAAGTGTGCCTTCCCACAGCGTGAATATACTGATAAGGGGAAAGTCAAGCTAAATGCCTTGCAAGTGATTCTGAGCAGCTTACTTGTTCTTAACTCCGGATGCTTCCGTGTAACCATGGCTCCACACGGCTGGGGCTCCAGAGGCGTCTCCAGCAGAAGGCTGGTCAATCTTGAAACAACGAATATTACTACAAAGAGAAACAAGAATGCTCAAATATCCATGCTTCAAAAGAAAAGGAAGCAGTTCCGTATCTTTTGTTAATCTTGTGTCATGTTTGTATGCCATATTTTAAGTTGCAATGCAAGAGTGTACGGTATTTAAGATAGCAGTGATGAGTCCCTGAATATGCAAGAAAAACGACCATTTAATAGTTATAGTACTATATTCTTTACTCCGCTTTTCTAAAAAAAGTGTTGTCAAATATGACATTAAAAAAGGAAATTAGAAATGTTAATAATAAGGTAAGTTAATTAGTTGCCTGAATAGGGTATTACAAAAAAACAAAACAGCTATGCATAGATGAAAATGGTTTTTCCTCCCACACATTCTGGCATAATTGTGTTTTTTAATTCCTGCATTTCACCATTTTTTGGATTTATTTTTCAGTAAAAGTATTTAATTGGTATTCATCCAAAGTCATTTGTGTGTGTGTGTGTGTCTTTCTGTAACTTTTTATGTTTGTGTGTGTATAGTCATACATTCACACCCATATACCCTGCTTACGTTGGCCCCATTTACACACTTTCTCTTTGCCCATGAGCAACTTCCCATTTTATCCTGCAATCCAGAACTCTGGTGACAAACTCCACCTACACACTTTTTCTGAATTTTAGCTGCCACCCCACAAAAAAGCTCCAGGAACTGCTTAAATGCTAGTGTTTAACACAGAGTGCAATAGGCTGAATGAATCAATGCTTATTTTTAAAAACTATATTTATTTTAAAAAAGGTGAGTAAAACAAAAAAACATGTGATCTAACCTGCTTTATATAATAAATACATGACTATTGCAGATTTGGATGCCACTGCTGCTGGTCCTGAGATATAGTTCAATACAAACAGCTTCATAAATCATTCTTAGTTCAGGATTCACATGAAGAGCTTTCCAAAGAAGGCAAATAACTCAGCTACCCAACGGTGAGCAAGGGACACCGGCAAAAGTTAATGAAGCATTCACCGCAAACATCCAAGGAAGGGCAAGGGAAGACATTTCGTGTCTTGTGTCTATGTCTTAATATAACTTAGCCTGATTAGGCTGAAATTCTGTCACTTTAAAGAAACTGAGAGCCTTTTTCTAAGTTCTATAATGCATCCCTGTCACCCCTCCAGTGTGGCCACTGGCAACTGAAAGAAAGTAAGCGGGCTCACCATCAACTTGCCTAAGAAGTCAATTCCATCAGCATGGAATAGTGAGAGGAAGGGGAGATTAAAAATTAAGGGTTTTCTTATGCACATTGCCCTTCATCACTCCATTCTTTCCTATGTATCATGTCATTTTAGCTCAGTGGTTCTCAACCTTTTTTAATGCCGCGACCCCCCCCCAACCGGTCGTAAGTCGAGGACTACTCCACTGGTGCAGCACCGTTTGCAGAATGGGACTTTTGGCGGGCTCAACAGGGCAGAGACAGCCTGGACAATTCCTATTGGCTTTTGAAAGCCAATAGAATTAGACTCTATTCAAGAGAGTCTATTCTATTGGCTTTCAAAAGCCAATAGAATAAAAGGGAGTAGCACAGCTAAGGGGGAAAAAAATGGCGGACTGCGTTGTTTGGCGACCCCCGTGAAATGGTTGTTCGACCCCAAATGGGGTCCCGACCCACAGGTTGAAAACCACTGTTTTAGCTCAAGCATAGCTAACCTTTTTTAGACAGGAGGCCATGCTTTGTTCTTACGCCCTACCCGTAGGTATAGAGGGCATGTCATATGACATCAGTATGCCAAACATTTCTGACCCAATTTTTTTCAATTAGGGTCAACTACAAAACACCCCAATTTGAGGAAGATGTGGGGTGTTTAAGCCACTTGCTTTGTCCCCTGAAAATCCCCTAAGTGCTTCTTTCAAGGCTCTGAAAATTCTGCCCTTTGTTCACTCCACAAGTCCTACCGCAAACTGCTGGCCATGTTAGTTGGTAAATGTGATGGTTTGCAGTACTCAGGGAAAAAAAAAAAAGAGCTGCTGCTTCTCAGGGCCACATCATCACCTTTTGCGACCTTCTGATAACCAAAGTCAATGAGGAAGCCAACTTAACAACTGCGTTAATAACTTAACAACTGCAGTGATTCAGTTAACACTTGTGGCAAGAAAGATCATAAAATAGGGCAAAATTCACTTAACGCTGTCTCATTTAGCAACAGAAATTTTGCAAGTCAAAGACTACCTTTACTTCAAATGAAAAAGACTGATAATTCCTGCTCTAGATTATAGTTTCTACCAGTCCTGTCCACTTCTCATGTTGGCTAAGAGGAAAAAAATGTTCTCTTAAAAACAGGCAACTCTTTGACAACAGACCTTACAAATTTTCTCCTCTCCTCTCTTCTCCTCCATTTTTGGGTAGTGAGCTACCTAGTAATTTAGGGATATTGCATATTTTCAAGTCTTTGGATTTTTTTTTCCTTCTCAGTGATGTGATGGGGAAAGAACTAACAAAATAAATGGAAAAAGATACCACTCAGGATGGGTTTACCTGCCCTCCCCTGGTGATTCTAACACTAGGAATAAGAAGGTGTTTGAGCCTATCTAGCTGGAGTCTTTTTAATTTGGTCATGCAGAACTTACGAAAAGCCACTGCGTGTCAAGATAGACTCCTTAGGCAGGACGTGGATGACACAATCCTATGCAAAACTGGTGTGGGCCCTGAACTGGAAGCAGGGATAATTAATTGTTGGCTGGCAGCACAGTATGCCAAAGGTTGGACTTTAACAAGTTTGTCAGAAGGAGTGGAGTTTACAGAAGTGTCTGAAGATACTTAGTAAACTGAGTAGGAAGTTTCTGTTCTAGGCAACAATATTGTGTTAATTGCAGTTCATACAGGATATGTTTATACAAGTTCACAAAATGACTAAAAGCAATGTAGAGATTTAGAGAGAATGAGGAAAGTGATCTCTGATAAGACTCTTTGAAAAATGATGGATATACATTTGCTGGCATTCTCATCCTTTGGAACCAGGGGTTCACAATGGCCACTGAAGACTGATTTTTGGAGCAGCCAGAGAAAGACGAGAAGCAGAAATCTTCACAGCAATATGATAGTGCCATGAGGAAGCCATTGTGCAATTCAAGAATGCCGTCAAAAACCACACAATTATTTCCTTGTACAGATCTAGTGGAAATAAAGTTCACCCAAAGAGAACTTTGACTGTGACAAACCTCCAAGTCATGAGTCAGCAAAATTCAGATCACATTATATTTGAAAGTTATAAGAGACAAAGTCCCTTTGCTCAAAATAGCAGATCTTTCAATATTTCATAAAGAGGCTTATCTCCATATAAGTACACACACACACACACACACACACACACACACACACACACACACACACACACACACACACACACATATATATATATATATATATATATATATATATATATAAATAAATATATAAATATATAAAGAATGTGTACTGTGTAAATAAGAACCTTCAACTCCACACAAGCAACATGACATTTTCTTGATAGGACTGGTAGGTTTAGCTGAAAAATGTATGCGGCAATAGAGCTATTGGAATCGTAGGGCAGGAGGAAATATAAGTAAGGCTCATAAATATGTAAATATATCATCACTTTGTAAGGGACAAAGCCATTTTGTTCCCTTTGGTTCTTTGGGATACAGGGATGGGCAGCAGCTATTTTTATTATAAGCCAAGAAACACAGTTGAGGATTTGAGCATTCGGCATAGCGAAACAGGAGTAAAGGGACAAGATTAATCCTTGGTTCAAGCCTCCAACAAGGAAACTCACCGGATGACCTTGAGAGCCTGTCATTCTCTCAACTTACCTGGCAAAAAGACAGACATGAACAGAGCCAAAAATGATCTGGAGGTGAAAAAAGTTTTTTTTAAAAAAAATTACGAGGTTTTGCTCCTGCTTCTTGATTTTTTGCGTGGAAGGTGAGTGGTGGATGGGGGGGGGGAAAGAATGGTACCCATCCTCAGAATGGAAGTGTGAAGGTCAGGAGCAAAAAGAAACCATTTTGGGGGTTTAAGGAGATCTTGGACAAGAAGTGTAAGAACTGGGCTCTGGGCTCTTATTTACCAAACCAGTTATTTACTGAGTTCCAAAAGAAAAACAATCCTCCCGAACATAGTCATTAAAAAAAAAAAATATGGGCGGCTAATGTTTACATAATAAGTGCTTTTTCCCTAAGTACATCGTGTACCCTTTTGCCTATTGTGTAATAACGTGGACGGCGCCTTACTTCAGCAGCTCCAAGGTTTTGTGATCCAGAACTAGCCTGGGGTTTCCAGTCAGGTCTAGTTCCTGCAGCTTCGGAGGCAAGGTTTCAGGCAACGTGACTTCAGCCAACTCGTTACAGCTCAGATCCACACACTGAAGAACGAGGGGAGAGAGAACATAAACAGAACATAAACAGACCGTGGGTCTTCGGAACACAGATGCCTAATTGTTACATAGACTATCGTGTAAGAAATCAGAGTCCCAACTATCACAAGTAACATGCACAGTAATAAAACAAGATCTGGACTGTACCATTTCAGACCAAAAGTTGGGCGCACAGATAATGGAAAGCTCCACCGCTTGGGAACTTCACAATTGAGAAAATTATTACATAAATCAAGAATGTAGAATAAGCTTTATTCCTTAATATCTCATTTCCTGTGGGTATGTATTGCCATTTAGCAGAGGGAGCAACCCACTAAATATGCAGCTGCAGTCTGAAGTGGCAGAGTTTAGAGCCCTTCCCTGCAGTTGGAGAGAATTAAGCCAACCTCCTCCTCCACCATCCTTAATCAAGGAAATTCTACAATGGCCTCAACAAAACACAAGATATGATTATTTAATATAAACCACTCCTTTAATCTAACATGCCGTCATAAAATAATAAAAATAAAACAGGGAGCAACTGATATTCTAACTAATGCACATGATTAGTTAACAGCTGTATTTTTCCCCCCTTTCTTTTCTCTGCCTGTTTTCTGAAAATCCTGAAAGGTTGCACACTATTTAATGACTCTGAGTGAGCCTAATTTAATTCTGTAACTTTTCTAAACTTTATGCTTCATTAAATAACCTCCATGTTTGTTGCAGAATGAATAGTGATTTGTCTACTGTCTGCGTTAAGAGGGTAATTATTATCCTTAAGCTAATGGAGCACATCAGTGTTAAGTGAGTTTTAATTAAAAGTAATTTTATAAATACATATATTAAAAGCCAATTGCGGAAAGGGGATTGTCATAATTCTGAGAGAGCTGTTATTATTCACCACCAGCCTTTAATACAGAACCATGTTATGAATTTAAAGGTGCATTTAAAATCAATTTCAAAATGTAGCCTGCACTGAAAACCAAACAAAATTTTAAGATGTCACAAAAGATCAGATAATGAATGCCAATGAACTGGGAATACTGCCAAAGACATTAAAATTATACAGTTGGTCTAGTATTGGGAGTCCAGTGATAGGTAGAAAGGAAAGAAGACATAGTAATTATTAAAAGTTTTAAAATTACTTGTTTTACACAGCAGAGAATTCCACTGAATTTTAATTTTGTGCACAATGTTCAAGGTAACGGTATTGTTTTTCAGAAAAATCTGGAAAAGCAGAGCCCTTGGGACGCAAGTTGGAAAGACAAGAGTATGAATACCACTGTCAACCTAGCAAAGCTTCCCCCTCCCCCAAAAAAGAATCTTGGGATGGCACACAGAATGTGATGTACAGAAGCCTTTTGTCCCCCCCAACCACAGAGATGTATGATTTGGTTATAGAAATGCCTAAAACAAGTAGTGCAATCTCACATGCCAACTTACGAGCAAAAGGTTGCCTTGACATCTTGAGGCAGATGAAATAATTGTATTGCTACCTAAAGTGTTGATGTAAGAAGATAACTCACTTTACAAACACTCTCAGTGTTTCTTTGTTGTCTCACTCTCCTTCTCTCTCTCTCTCCTTCTCTCTCTCTCTCTCTCTCACACACACACACACACTGCTCCAGATACAATTACCAATATCTCAAATATCTATCACTGCTCTGAACTCTTCCAGGAACCATCTTTCTCTTTGAACGGAAAACACAGGATTTTCTATAGCACATGGGCAAGATGTAACTTCGTTTAAATAAACACGAGAAATCCACAAGAAATCCTATCATAATTGGAGGTATGTAAAAAAAAAAAAATGCTCTACCTTCACTATGGATTACTTCCAAGCAACTAAAAGGAGCTTTAGGCGTAAATTCTTACTAAACTCCTACCTTGATCTCGCCAAGTTGCATGACTTCTGGAAAGACTTCGATGCAATTGGAGTGTGCAATCACGGTATGCATGCGGCGACAATTCATGATCGTTGTTGGAATGGATTTCAGCTTATTGCCACTAACGTCGATTTCTTCCAACTCTTCAAGTTTGGCCATTTTACTACACAAAAGGGCAAGAGGGAGGGTTTGAGCATAATAACCAAAGCATTCTCTTAGAATAATGACTTTAAAGGTCAAAGCACAGGTAGTTCTCGACTTACAACCTTTCGTTTAATGATTGTTCAAAGTTACAACGGCACTGAAAAAAGTGACTTAGGCCTGTTTTTCAAACTTACGATCACATGACCCCGTGGTCATGTGATCAAAACCAAGACGCTTGGCAACTGACTCCTATTTATGATAGTTGCCGTGTTTCAGGGTCATTGTAATCGTCACTGTGACCTTCTGATAAGCAAAATCCACGGGGAAGCCAGATTCACTTAACAACCGTGTTACTAACTTAACAAGTACAGTGATTCACTTAACAACCGTGGCAAGAAAGATCGTAAAATAGGAGAAAACTCACTGGACAATTGTTTCACTTAGAAACATACATTTTAGGCTCAATTTTGGTCATACGTCGAGGACTACCTGTATCCTGGAGCCTTTCCACACTTACAGTCAGGTCCAGAAATATTGGGACATCGACACAATTCGAACATCTTTGGCTCTATACACCACCACAATGGAGTTGGAATGAAACAAACACAATGTGCTTTAACTGCAGACTGTCAGCTTTAATTTGAGGATATGTACATCCAACTCAGGTGAACGGGGTAGGACTTACAGCAGTCTGCATATGTGCCTCCCACTTGTTAAAGGACCAAAGGTAATGGGACAATTGACTTCTCAGCTGTTCCATGGCCAGGTGTGTGATATTCCCTCATTACCCCAATTACAATGTGCAGATAAAAGGCCCAGAGTTCATTTCAAGTATGCTATTTGCATTTGGAATCTGTTGGTGTCAACTCTCAAGATGAGATCCAAAGAGCTGTCACTATCAGTGAAGCAAGCCATCATTAGGCTGAAGAAACAAAATAAACCCATCAGAGAGATAGCAAGAACATTAGGCGTGGCCAAAACAACTGTTTGGAACATTCTCAAAAAGAAGGAACGCACCGGTGAGCTCAGCAACACCAAAAGACCCGGGAGACCACGGAAAACAACTGTGGTGGATGACCAAAGAATTCTTTCCCTGGTGAAGAAACACCCTTCACAACAGTTGGCCAGATCAAGAACACTCTCCAGGAGGTAGGTGTATGTGTGTCAAAGTCAACAATCAAGAGAAGACTTCACCAGAGTGAATACAGAGGGTTCACCACAAGATGTAAACCATTGGTGAGCCTCAAAAACAGGAAGGCCAGATTAGAGTTTGCCAAACAACATCTAACAAAGCCTTCACAGTTCTGGAACAAGATCCTATGGACAGATGAGACCAAGATCAACTTGTACCAGAGTGATGGAAGAGAAGAGTATGGAGAAGGAAAGGAACTGCTCATGATCCTAAGCATACCACCTCATCAGTGAAGCATGGTGGTGGTAGTGTCACGGAGTGGGCATGTATGGCTGCCAATGGAACTGGTTCTCTTGTATTTATTGATGATGTGACTGCTGACAAAAGCAGCAGGATGAATTCTGAAGTGTTTCGGGCAATATTATCTGCTCACATTCAGCCAAATGCTGCAGAACTTATTGGATGGCACTTCACAGTGCAGATGGACAATGACCCAAAGCATACTGCAAAAGCAACCAAAGAGTTTGTGAAGGGACAGAAGTGGAATGTTATGCAATGGCCAAGTCAATCAGCTGACCTGAATCTCATTGAGCATGCATTTCACTTGCTGAAGACAAAACTGAAGGGAAAATGCCCCAAGAACAAGCAGGAACTGAAGACAGTTGCAGTAGAGGCCTGGCAGAGCATCACCAGGGATGAAACTCAGCGTCTGGTGATGTCTATGCGTTCCAGACTTCAGGCTGTGATTGACTGCAAAGGATTTGCAACCAAGTATTAAGAAGGGAAAGTTTGATTTATGATTATTATTCTGTCCCATTACCTTTGGTCCCTTAACAAGTGGGAGGCACATATGCAAACTGCTGTAAGTCCTACCCCGTTCACCTGAGTTGGATGTACATACCCTCAAATTAAAGCTGACAGTCTGCAGTTAAAGCACATTGTGTTTGTTTCATTCCAACTCCATTGTGGTGATGTATAGAGCCAAAAATGTTCGAATTGTGTCGATCTCCCAATATTTCTGGACCTGACTGTACATGACAATTGTTATGTACATTGCAGAAAACAAAAAGATTCTTGAGAGTAATAGCCCTGCAGATAAGAAAGGCCTCATTTGTTGATCTCTATTTCTTTCATAAATGCCTCTTTGGAAAAATTACACTCACTCATACCAAAATGAGAGTAATAATGATCTTAAGGCTCATGATTTCTAGCCAGAGCTTCTAGCATTTGTAGAACTGAAAGGAACTTAGAAAGTTAGTCAGAACTGGTTTCAGTAAATGTACCAGGATACCAGCTGAGTAGGGTGTTCTCGTAAATGTTTCCAATCTGCTCACTTCGATATTACTTTCTCTTGATTCTGATCACCTTCTGTTTCCCTGCAAATTCTGCACACCAGTTCTAATGTGGCCCTTTTGAACATCAAAGAGTAAGCCTGCTCTACTGCTTCTAGATGATATTGTAAAACGTTATTATTTGTAAAAGTAAAAAAGAAAAAACATGGCCACTTACATAAATATTTATAATTAGACAATTCAATTAATTTAATGTGTATCTTCATATCATGCTACTTTTGCTATAGGATCTGTTTATGTTTTGGGGTTTTATGTTTTAAGAAGTAGAAGTAGAAGAACATATACAACTATACAAGTAGATAATATATTTATAGTCTTCCATGTCAGGCTCCCAAAAACATAATGTCAACTTCTGAAACAAGTCTGGCTGAAGCCACCTTTGTCGTTCTAAGTTGCCATATAAGTGGGGGGGTAGGGAGAAAGAAAACTAAAGTATGCTAGATTAAACACAGAGCGGTCCCGTGGGAACCAAGGACATTCCCACAGGTGCTGGAAGGAGGAGCAAAGACGAGTTGCAGAGCCTGCCAATTACTTTTATTTGGTAGCATGGTTTATAGCACAATAGAGTGGAGGGGAATGTTACATTTGGTTACATTGAATCTCTAGGGAAAAATTTAGAGTTGGTTTCACTTTTGACCGTGCCGATATTATGTATCCAATCACTTTTGACCATGTCAATATTATGTATCCAATAAACATGTGCTTTGAGGAAACTTCAAGCCTCGGAATTCTGCTTTATTTGGTTTCATTAGTCGGAACTTAGACACACTTATATTTAAAAAAAATATAAGTAGATAAATTCTTCACTATAACAGATGGAGAATGAGGGTTCTCCCATCCCTGTGATATGAAACTTTTTTACAATTATAACCTTGGTCCTCTGGTTAGTTTTCTTATCATTAAGTCTCCTAAAATAATTGGATTCCAAAGCCATTCAATTTTTAAGACATGACAGATATGCTGATTCTAAGGTAGCCTGTGAGACAAAGTTTCCAAAAGACAAAACCTGACATTAGTTGACCCTGAACAGATGACATGCCTTATGATTTAAATTTAAATCTGGAAGATTGCATTTCCTTCTCTAATTGACAACTGGGGCTTCCCGAGTGAAAGATGAGAGGCAAATTTCTCCACATTAACCCCCAAACCTATGTTAAATTTCCAAAGACAAGTTTTACACATACACTATTTCCAGTGACAATTTTTTTTAAATGCATACTGATTTTTACACTACAAACTTAAACTGAGTGCTGCCTCTATATCCAAACTACCACTATTTCTGATAATTAATACACAAATGTTTGAATTCAGTCTGATCCTCCTGAAATACACTGCAAGACATTTTCGACACAAGATAAGTTATAATCCATCAGAACTCTTAAGATATGCCTCTTCGTATAATAGCACATGTTTTATAAATGATGAGTGTCCGCATCCATTGTTTGTTTAGCATATTATCCAAAGATGGATGGAAGAAGAAGCATAATGAGACTCTGGTACACTGCTCATTTGGTAGCAAGACCAACAGTATTGGATCCGTACCATATTTAAAAAAGCTACCATTTAGTGAAATATCAACTACGTAACATCCTTTAAATACCATATAAGTAGCCCAAAATATTTGATCAAGAAGAGAATTAGCTACTACCACACTTTCTTACCTTGCGGGAAAGCTTTGCAAGCGATTATAGGCCATATGTAGTATCTTTAGGTGAGGATGACCGGTTAACAAGGGGACACTTTTATCTGTGAGGTGATTGTTGGTCAAATAAAGTTCTTGTAAAATACTATGGGTCTCCTCTGAAAGAGTGGCTGGAGGTAACATTTCCAGTTTGTTGGCAGAAGCATTCAAGTACCTTAAGCTGCAAAAGCAATTATTAGAGATAACTTTAGGTACACATTTTCAAAGACCTTTTTCATGGTTTAGTAGCACTGTTCCTGGAAATTTATTTAAAATTGCTCAACCTTTTTGCTACCTTCATCAGAGGTAGCCTTACTATCAAAAGAGAGTTTAAACTGAGGGAAACATGAGACAAGGGCCTCCTCTGTAGAACAATTGATCCTGGGGATGTAAGAATTGTGCTTTTCTTTGCTTTAATAGGGCAGCCAAAACAATTCTATTCTGCTTGGTTTACCACTATTTTAATAGCATTCTCTGGTTAAGTATTTTCATTTTCTTTTAAGTGACCAATTGATACACATTGTTGTGAATTATTTATCTGTTTGAGAAAGCTGATAAACAAAAACAGGTACAAAGAATAGAATTCTTTACTGGCCAAGTGTGATTAGACGCACAACGAATTTGTCTCTGGTACGTAAACTCACAGCGTACATGCAAGCAACAAGTGATAAATCATGATCATAATCATAAAATACAATATCATAAATCATAAGATACAATACTCAGTGATAGTCATAGGATGCTAAATAATCAATCAATATAAATCATAACAGGATACTAAATAAAACCAACATAAATCATAAGATACAGAGTTGTAAGAAGCTAAGGAAATAGGAAATATATGGTTTTAATAGACCTAAATAATGTTACTGAGAAAAAATGTGTAAACAGCCAGTTCTGCTCATTTCCTTAGAACCTGAGTAAATTCTCAGCTGCTATAGCGCAATCAGATGTTTAAGAAAAACAAATTCTTCAAAAAGTTTTAAAAGCAGGAAATAATAACATTAGCCAGATAGTGAATTGAAGAGAATTCATATTATTTTTATATTAGCTTCCACACATACATGGAAGGTTATCTCAAAATGTTTGTTTAGTTTTAAAAACTTAGATAGAAAAATACGGTATAGGAAGAGTGATGTGTTTTTTAAAGTTAGCAATTTTATTTATTTTAAATCAGGAAGTACTTAGCTCTATACAGAAAAATATCTTTACCAGTAGACACCTTGGTAGACAAAATAAATGGCATAGCTTTTGTAACCCATTGATTATTTGGAGAGAACTGAGGAGGGGATTGGGATCCAATTTAAAATGGAAAAGTAGTGAGGAGATAGAAGAGCATCCTACTCATTTCCTTAATCCCTTTTCTCCTGCCCATACAGTTAGCCTCACTGGGGAAATTATTTGTTGTAATAAATTTACCGTAAATGCCGGCATATAAGGCGACTTCCGCGAGCGCTGAAATCGGCGCCAAAGACGGGGGTCGTCTTATACGCCGAGTCGTCTTATACGCCGGAAATACTGGTAGTTTCCGGCGTATAAGACGACGTTCTAGGAATGCGGCCCGGGGGTCGTCTTATACGCCGGGTCGCCTTGTACGCCGGCATTTATGGTATATGGATGCCAAATCATATATTATGACCTTGGTCAGCTAACATAGAATAGAACAAGAACATAGAACAAGAACCAGGCTAACAAGATAAAAAAAACCCAAAATAAAACATAATGTAACTGAACCCAACCCACAATCAATTCCATTTCAACTCATAACAATGGAATCACCCTGCTGTCTGGGGAACAGCCAGGTCTTACGGAAGGCCTACAAGGTTGGGGCCATCCAAATTTCAGGTATTACAATATTTCAGATGCAAGCGTGACCCACCTAAATATACTACTGGAATAAAAGTGGCTTGGGAAACAATAGGTAATATTAATCAGGAACAAAGCAAAGGAAGAAAAAAGAATTAAGCATTTGCTGCCCTGCACCTGTTTTCCACCAACGATGGTGTCAGAGGCTATACTATATTCCCAGTCAATCAATGCAACTGCCATAAGCTGCAGTGTTAGATATACTATCTTAATTTATAATATAGCATGATATGGATGACTAAGAACGGACTACTATGAAGCATGGACTCATCAGCTTGTATTTTCCTGTTGATTAAGTGTTTGGATGATTTCATTGCCAGCTTTTTTTAATCACATGTTGCCATATCATCCAGACGTTGAATTTTAGTTGACACTAATTCTTGCTAATTTTAGGTAAGACAGCTTCACTATAGTTTAAAATTAGTTTGTCTAAAACCAGCCAAGTTCAGTTAAATGCCTTGTCCTGGTGTAGTTGCTGAAGAAGCTCCACTACAGATTCCCATCATTATCTTAAAAGAATGGAGAATATTATAATAATAATAATATAATGCTAGAACAGCAGAGGTTATATTATAGAGCCATGAAAGTCGTATCAGCTTAAATCTCTTCCATTTTGGAAAGCTCAGTAGGAAATATTTAATGAGAACAGTATCAATTGCATTTTAAAATCAGAAATGTTGTAGTGTTCTAAATATAAGACTATTTACATTTGATAACATGCTATTTTTTAGATAAAATTAAGAGAAGAACATTTTATGAATACTAGCTTTTACTAAGTTAACTAATAGTATTTTAATATATTGTATAGATTGTATTACTTCTTTAAACTTAAGAGATAGGCATTGTTAATATCTCTGTACTAAAAGGAAGTTGGAGGTCATCTTTGTTATATTTGGTAGATGTATTTTCTTTGGGACTTTTAATGTGCTTTGTCATTCTTTTTCTTTCCATGTTACTTTGCATTTTAATGTAGATGTTGAAATTTAATAAAGATATTATTTAAAAAAAACACCTTTAAGGGATGGTAAATTTTGCTATTTCACTCTCCACAAATAAACATTTGGGAGATTAAGAGTGCATTGCCTGATGTTATTTACTTCAGTTTGTTTTTTAATTAAAATGAAAAAAAAATACACCACAATTAACAGTAGAAGTTATACAACTTGGAAATTACGTTTATACTGTTCTATTCTCTTGGTGGATTTTTGGGTTACCTATCAGCTTTTAGCAGCAGATTAGATGGCAGCTCCACAAGTTGGTTGTGTTGCACATCCAGGACTTCCACATGAGTTCGTTCAATCCTCTCTGGCAGCCTTTCCAACTGATTGTGTCCAGCAAGTAATTTTCGCAAGCTGATATTGCAAAATAACCTTAAAACATACAAATAGCAGTAAAACGTACAGCTTTAATTAAAGGAAGTTTATTTCAGAGAAGCTGAGAAAAACTTCAACAACATTCTGCATAGAAGAAAGGGTCTAGATTGGCTCAGGAATTCTGGGAGTTGAAGTCCACGAGTCATGAAAGAGCCAAGGTCGCCTGGACGACTAGTCTATGGGCAGAAGACGAAGAAAATCCATTGATGGATTCTCCACTCGTCATGCTGGAGAATGAATCTATTAACTAAAATAAATGGGAGGAACCAATGTACTTTTCCATATCGGTAGCCCTTGACTTATGACTGTGATGGAGCCTTACCGTAATCATCGTAAAGCAGGGCCTCACACGTGACTGGCTCAATTTTAAAACCTTTTTTGCGGCTACTGTTAAGTAAATTTGCAGTCTTTAAGTGAATGCCATGGTCATTAAGTGGCACTTTTGTGCTAAAAACTGGGAGTAAAATGCAGGTTTTTTGGCAAAAATGTCATAAATTATGGTCACATTACTGTGGGATGCTGTAAAAAGCTGTAAATGTGGGCCAACTGCTGAGCACCCAACATGTGGGCAATGTGACTGGAGGAGGACAAAGCAACCCTGAAAACTTTGGAACCAGACTGTAAGAATCTCCTGAGGGGTCCATCATAACATCAGAAAATCACTAAGCGGCTAGTCGTAAGTTGAAGGCTACCTGTGCAGTAGAGAAATTTCTCAAATGCAAATATTCCCTGGATATTTTTCTGAGAGGATAAGTGGTCACCCATGTTTTTCAGAGGAAACTACACTGAACTTTCAATAGGATCCTGAAATCAAGAGTGTATTTTCCCAGGCTATACAAGCATAATATCTAAAAAAGTGATGCTCTGAGTTTTGGGAAAGATGCATGACCTCCTTTAGGACTTCTGCCTGGAAATCTGAGAGATTGCTTTGTTTACATCTGCGTGAAGAAAACTGTTCTGACTCTTATGACACGCCATGTGAGAAAAAAACATTAAACAGAAGGAAAAGATCAAACAACACGAAACACAGTTCTGTCACTAAGCAAGCTGGAAACTGATTCTATGCAAACACAATTTCCTACTTTGCACCCTGTTTCTGGTTGTTTTAAAAGTAGGACTCACCTAGAGGGAAGTTCACGTATATGATTGTGACCCAGATCCAGTACTTCTAACTTTCGGCTATCACAAACCCATTCTGGAAGGCTCTCCAAGTGATTTCTACACAAAAGAAAGGCAAATGAAAAAAAAAATGATGACAATAATGTTAAGGGATATTTACTTATTATTGTCAGATGTGATTTAAAATGTACAGATAGATGTCCTGTCAGCTGCAGCACACAGCTTTTAGGCAGCTGGGATTGACTGCAGCTACATGTGAAGTGCTTACAGAATGGCAAACACAGATTACCATGAAGCACACAGAATACCTTTAAAATCTTGAATTAACCAACCTAACCACATAATATTTTGTGTTAACCCACAAAAATCATCCCTAGTGCCAATTTATATGAAGAAGGCATCTTTAGCGAAGATATATACTGTATAAATATAAAATGGAACATTTCAAAGCCACCCTAATGGATAAAACATTGTGTGCAATGTACACGCATACACATTTTCTCATGCAGCAGCTATTTAAAAAAATCTATTATTCCCACTCGGTCTCTCTGGAAACAAATTGTGGCATACAATTCACTGACGTTTAGGAAGTAGTAGCAAGCCACAGGAACGTAATGTGGGCTTAGAAATGTCCCAGGATCATCTCTCTCTCTCTCTCTCTCTCTCTCTCTCTCTCTCTCTCTCTCTCTCTGTGTGTGTGTGTGTGTGTGTACACACACACACACACACACACACAAATATATTCATATTCGAATTATAATGGCAATTGGGATTAGAATTTCCATTGCTAAAGTGATGTTTTGTAAAGCTTAATGTCATATGACCACATTGTTTAGCAACAGCAATTCTGGCGGTCCTGGTTGCCATCATTAAACAAATTGTCCAATTGTTAGCTGAGGAGCCACCCCATCCAAGCAACCCCAGCTTTGGTCCCTCCCAACACTGAGCCATGGTAAGGTATAGGACTTCCTCCTCTTTAACTACCTTCACCTGCCTACCTTCCCCTCTTCAATGTCCTTTTAGCCACCTACTCCACTGCCTCTGACAGCCTTTCCACCTGTGCCTGTTGCTGTTGCCAACCTCGTTGCTCCAAGATAACCTTCACTGTCTTTTTCCTGCCACTTCTGAGGTCCACATAGCCTTTTGTGAGGCAGCTACTGGCCATGCCATGCCTGTTTTCTGAGGCTGCACCACTCCTTGTCCAAATATGTTATGGTCTTCAACTCATGAAGATAGGAAGAGGAAAGAAGGCCACCGTGGTGGCATGAAAGAAGGACTCCCCTAACCAGGATCCTTTTTCACGAAAGAAGGCCATGGCTGGGATGTTGGAGATGCCCTATTGGCATCAGTGTGAAAGAGTTCAAAGTTCAAAGAAGGCCTCATCCAGTGCAGTAGTGGTTTGCAGTGTAGCAGATGTGGTGGCAGGCATGACTAAGCAGTGGGTGCAGCTGTCAGTAGGCAGAGGACCAAAAGGTGGTCATAAATGCAGGTATCCCCAAATTTTGTTCATGTGACTGCAGGAGGCAGGAACTTATGAGGACTGGTCATAAGACTCTTTGTTCAATGCCATGGTAATTTCAAACAGTCGCTGAACAAATGGACACTAAGCAAGGACAATCTTAGTCAACATCATCGGACATGGGAGATGGGGGAACTGAGATTCTTTTTTCACCCAATAAGCTCCTACATCAACGATTAGTAGGGCAGTAATATCCCTTATACTAAAGCAATAAAACCTCAGAATTAAATACAATACAATTTAGAAAAAATGGCAATTTCATATGAAATTAAACAAACTGCAAAACTGAGCAATATCCTGTGTCTTTAAACATTTACCCTGCTTGTTTGTTTTGATGCCTATGGCCTGAAAAGATTACTGTGCTCTGTATTATTTTAGCAGGGGGCTAAAACCTTCATATCTGGCAATGGGTCCTTCAACTTCTCTCCACCAAGATACCCAAAAGAAAGCTTGCTAGACTAAGTGGAGAAGATTATCTACTGTCGTATCTATTCTCCTTCTTAACCTTGGGGCTTTAACTCTGAGGGTCACATTATTAACGTATTTTTTACTCTGAACAGTAAGAAGAAAATCTAATTACTTATGAGTAAGAAGAAAATCTAATTACTTATGAGGTATCGTGGATATCGTGTTCAAAGTTGTGGCATTTACTTTACAGGGGTTCTCAACCTTGGCAACTTTAAGACTTGTGGACTTCAACTCACAGAATTCCTCAGCCAGCAAAGCTGGGAGTTGAAGTCCACAAGTCTTAAAGTTGCCAAGGTTGAGAACCCCTGACTTAGCAGCTCAACAAATCAAAGTAAGTGTAATGCAGAAAAGGGGATTCAATGTGTTGAGACTGCATTAAAAATCACTCCCCAAGTTTATACAGAAACATTTGTGATGATCACTGCTTCAAAGTAAAGAAATATGACAGATCAAATAAGTTACACACAATATTCCAGGGTCACCAGGAAAATTCATTCAATCTCATGCAGTCAACAAGATCACTTTATTATTCAAGTGCTCCACTTTCTTCTCATGTGTTCCACTAATACTATCTTCAAAACCAGTCAACTTTTAAAGATATGCTTACCTAGAAACATCCAAATAAGTTAGATAATTTGGAACTGGATACACATCAAGGTGAACAAGTTCTGGAAGAGAAAGACAAATACTGTATTGCAAAGATAAATTTAATTTCAAGCTACTAAAAGTAGACCACCTCATGTTGCCCAGGTTTATTTAAACAATATATAAATCATAGCATGGAGGACAAAATACGGGCAGTCCTCAATTTACAACAGCTCATTTCGTGATCGTTCAAAGTTACAAGAACACTGAAAAAAGTAACTAGTTACTGTTTTTCACACTTACGTCCGTTGCAGCACCCCCATGGTCACGTGATCAATCAGACACTTGGCAACTGACTCACACTTACGACAGTGGCAGTGTCCTGGGGTCATGCGATCCCCTTATGCAACCTTCTGACAAGCAAAGTGAATGGGAAAGCCAGATTCACTTAACAACTGTGTTACTAATTCAACAACTGCAGTGATTCACTTAACAACTGTGGCAAGAATGGTCATAAAATGGGGCAAAATTCACTTAACAAATGTCTCACTTAGCAAAAAAAAAAAAAACCTGGCGCTCAATTGTAGTCGTAAGTCAAGCACAACTGAACAGTTAAAAACAGCAAATAAGAATCTAGTAAAAAATAAAGAACATTTTAATAAGACTTTGAAGACATTTCACTGAAATAGATGGGATTTTCTTATTTGCCTTTAGCTTAAATAAAATATAGCTCTGTTGTAAAGAAAAGTATTCATCCTTTATTTTGTAAACTATAGTTTTGCTTTGAGAACTGTAATCCATAGTGTGTGTTTTGGGAATACGTGAGATATCTTTCTCCCCAAGAGCTCTATGACAGGGGTGACAAACTGCCGGAAGCCACGCCCACCCCATTGCCGGCAATGGCAATACTGTCCCAATACGTTATGTAACGTCATGTGACATCGCGAGTTTGCATGTCTGCTCTATGATATATCTCCCATCAGTAAGAAAAACTGTATTATGGTTTATCACTTCACAATGTTATACTTGGTGTAGCTGGTCTAGTATAACTAAGTTGGAAAGAAAATCAGCTTCAGCAGATTTAATCTGAGCGAGGACATCAAAGTACCACTAAATTTTTAAAAGCTTCTCTAATTGGTCAAATGTTAGGCAAGAACAAGCGTATATTGGGTAGAGTTGGGCACTGCAGATAGGTAGAAAGAAAATTGTATTCTGATGTTATGTGGCCCTTGGTTTTGAGCTAAATCCTTCTGCCAACACCTAGCTCTCTTTACAAGTGTTTTGTTGTTGTTGTTGTTATTAAAATGGAGGTGCATTCAATCATACAATCCTTCATTTGCAGAGTCTGCATCTGCGATATTACCCAGGCATAAATTCATCTCTTTGGAGAGAATTAGTCCTCTGGATAAATCAATAATCTCTCATTTGATTATTTCACCAAGAATATCCCCTAAAAAGAATATATAGTATGTTTATAGATAGTCTTTGAGTTACAACCACAATCGAACCCAAAATTTATGTTGCTAACTGAAACATTTGTTAAGTGCATTTTACGACTTTTCTTGCCACAGTTGTTAAGTGAATCATTTCATTTGTTAGGTTAGTAACACAGTTGTTACGTGAATCTGGTTTCCCCATTGACTTTGCTCGTCAGAAGATTGCAAAAGTGATCACATGACCCGGGGACACTGCAACGGTTATAAATATGAGTCAGTTGCCAAACATCTGAATTTTGATCATGTGACCATGGGGTTGCTGCAATGGACGTAAGTGTGAAAAACAGTCATAGGTCACTTTTTTCAGTGCTGTTGTAACTTTGAATGGTCACTAAACGAACTGTTGTAAGTCAAGGACTAGCTGTATTATGTTTACTTCTAGATATGCAATCTATTGAAATGTCCTCATGCAATCTATTGAAATGTCCTCTTTACAATGACTAGTAGCTGTAACAATTTTTGTACACTAATCTATAATTCCACAGTTGCAGCTCATCCATTCATTCATCTATCTCAGTGATGGCGAACCTTTCAGAGACCGAGTGCCCAAACTGCAACCCAAAACCCACTTATGCACTGTTGAGTACTGGGTGGGTGTAGGCCATTGGGTGGGTGTGGCCAATTGGATGGGCGTGGCTGTGGTGGTAACTAAAAAGTTCAATCAATCAATTCCAACTTTGCAAGATCTTTTTTTTCCCCTCTTGAGAAGTTGAAATTGACTGATTGATTGAACTTTTGGGGGGGGGGGCACATGGCAGTGGAGGCCTAAAGCGAAAAGGTTTTATAAAACCCAGCTGAAGGCCTGAGACTGGGGTGACAGCGCGCGTGCCCACAGAGAGGGCTCTGAGTGCCACCTCTGGCACCCGTGCCATAGGTTTGCCACCACTGATCTAGCTACTATCAAAATGTTTATTTCAAAAAAGCTGATTTTTTTTTTTTGCTACTATTCATTTTGCAATCTGCTCCACCACTCAATTGTATGTTATGCATATGGAGATACAGGTGGGTGGTCTAAGAAATCAGAGGGTTTTTTAAAAAAAGAATCAGTCAAGGAAGGATAGGCTATGAATCAATCACAACATAGGTCACGAAGCTAGGATTCATCTCAAGATCAATAATTAGGGAAGTAAAAAATAGCAGGAGAAATGAACTATTGTTGTGCCCAGCATAAGTGCATATTTCAAGTAACCAATCAGGATTTCCAGCTAAAGAGAGCTTCGAGATTTGATGGAAATATTTCCCCTCACCTACTAGTAGTGATATTATGCAAAACAAAAGTATGCATAATTTACATAAGCTGTGGAGAAATTGTTTTTGTTTTCAGGATATATAACACATTCCACCCAATTTTAAATTCAAAGTAAATTGAGTATCTTTTCCAGCTGTGGCCTGCTGATTGTTTTCAGCAAAAAAATAAAAATTAAAAAAAATATGAAATATTACCGTATTTTCCAGCGTATAAGACGACTTTCTAAAGCGTGGAAATCAGCGCCAAAGTCAGGGGTCATCTTATACGCCGGAAATTATGGTAGTTTCCAGCGTATAAGTTGACTTTCTAGGCATGGAAATTGGCGCCGAAGTCAGGGGTCGTCTTATACGCCGAGTCGTCCTATATGCCAGAAAATATGGTATTTAAAAGGCAAGTATGTATTATTGTTCTGAATCAGCTTTTCAGCACTGTCACTCATCAGTACGGCGACCATATACCTCTTCTTATAAAGAATAATCCTTTATTTCATAAAGCTGTTCTTTAGATTTATTTTCTCAAAAACGCACTTTTGTCTTTTATTTTAGTCCTTAGCATTTACTGTATAAATGATACCACTTAGTGCAGAATCTTTCTCATTCATGTGAAAATATAGAAATTGAATTGTCTTTTTAAAATAAATTTACATACACTAATTTTTAGATATTTGTATTAGAATATGGGTTTTGTAAAGTTTTTTTGATTTTACTCTGAATTTTCCTTTGTAAAGCAAAGTTATAAAGAATTAAAAGTTTTTTATCTTTATGAATCTCATTCAAATTTGCCCCTTTTTTCAGACTTATCCTAACCCAAGAAAATATGGCCACCGTGCTTATAAGCCAAGTCAACTGCTGATGGTCCTAATCATTGAATATCAGCAATAAACTGTCAACAATGAAATAGTGGCAAAGAGTGGAGTTCCCAAGATGAACTTGAAAGAACAAGGATATGTGGGACAAAGGGTACAGAGAATCGGTCTTTTGTTAACAGGAAGATAAAAGGAAGATAAAACACTGAGGCAGTTTCAGATTAACTCAAAGTGTAGAAATCTAGAAGTTCTCCCTTGGCTTCTGCTGAGTGATAGGGGCCCCTTATCAGAGTATATTGCTAGCATAAGAAAGCTCTCTGTACATGTTGCTAAACTCCATGGGAAAAAGTATTGTGCAGATAGATGCTGCTTTACTAGCTACTTGTAATGGAAGCGCTTCTCCTTCGATGTATTTAATGCAGGAATCCTCTGAAGCTGTCAGCCTTACTAGACAGACCAGACAGGAAACAGATGTGCTCATTCTATTTTATGTTGGCTTTATTAACAGATTCTTCCCAGTAGAAGTACAATTCTCCTCCTTGACAGCTTAAGAAATTAGGGAGGGTCTCTTCTGAACCTCTTGTCCCATCTACTATCCAGTTGGGGCTATGCAGTCTGACCCTTTGTCCAGAGACTTTCCATGTACCATTATATAGTGTTGGAAGAAAAGTCTTCACCGTGGTTCAGTCCAAGCTGGGAATAAATGTGGCGACTGCTTTAGGAAGAAGGTTGCAGTTTATTGAAGAGGAGAGCCAGACAGAAAGATGGCTTTGGCAGAGAAGAGGGGTGAAAAGGGGCTGAGCACATGTAGGGAGTGGGTTTTTATATCCTCTGGAGCCCTTTGTTTGGAGTTGTTTCCTGTTCCTGTTTTGAGGCTTTGTATTTCCTGTGTCATGTATTTTGACCTGTGTCCCTTTGGCATCTGTGAGTTAATCCTATTATGTCCTGTCTTAGACTTTGGGTGGGGTATGTAGATTTTAGGTGTCTTTGTCTTCTTAATCTTCTAGGTTCAACTTTCCTCAACGGTCTGCATTTCTATAGAGCTGGGTTTCTGCTTAGGGGAGGGAGACCTGGGGCTATCAAGAAAAAATTTCTGCCTCTTTAAGATCCTTTGAGGAAATATATTTTTCTGACCTTTTAATATTTCCTTCTCTGGGGGGCTGACTTCCCACAATAGAAAGAAGAAGCTGAACTGGCTGATGAAAAAAATAGATTATTTTTAAAAAGTGGAAAAAAAGAACAAGAAAGTGGAAATGGACATCTTAGTAAACATCCCACAACGTGTCTAGCAACATGAACCTATGGTATCAATATAAATGGAACATAGAGAAATATTAAGGACTCTAATGAGGAAGAATTGATAGGGTGCCTTCTCTACTTCAATAAATCAAATCTGTAAACTAGAATACTATTATTCAATGGAACAGATAGTTCTTGATTTATAACCATTTCTTTAACACTGTCTTGAAATTACAATGAACTTGGAAAACTCACAACATGACCTTGAAGTTATGATCACTGTACCATCCCTGCAACCACATGATCGCAATTCAGGAACTTGGCAACCAGCTAAGATACACAACGGTTGCAGCATCTGTGATCATGTGTGATTCACTTAACAACTGTGTGATTCACTTAACATCAGCAGTGATTTGCTTAATGACATGGGGGAAAATGGTAGTAAAATTGGGTCTGTTCACATGATAATATAATTAATAACTGTCATCACTTAGTGACCAAATTCAGGACTACTTGTATACAATTTATACATCTCGCTAGGACAGTCACTTTATTTTATCTCACAAAGAATATGTGGAATTTGTGAGACACTCTGTAAGATTTAAAACTTGCATTTAAATCCCAAGGATTTCCACTTTTCAACACTCTAAAAGAGCATGTAAGCACCACTCTACAAGCTTCCAAAATTCTGCTGCTAAATGTTTTATGCAAAGCCAGATGGTTAAAGACTGGATTCATCCACAATTTAATATTGCATACAAAATCAGTACAAGAAGAAAAGACTGGGAATATCAATTCCTATTTGAACTACCTTCAAAGTAAACATACCATTTGAAGTGGCATAAAGAGCTTTAAGTAAGTATCCACTGATTTTGAGGGTTACCAGCTGGTTTCTTTCACAGTGTAGTATTTCAACGTTATTGAAGATAGTTGCATCTAACTCTCCTAGCTTATTATCCCGAAGATCGAGCTGGGTCACATGATGTAGGAAGTCACTCTCATCGCCCATCAACCTTCTAATCACATTTAACCTGGGATAGAAATGGGAAGGGGGAAAAAAAAGAGCTGGGATCAGTTATTTAGCCTCCTTTTTTTTTAGAAGTCTGGAAAACAAAATTTGGCTTTTAATTTATTATTTCCAAGTATCCTTGGCCAAAAATACCAAGTTCTATTTTTCTAGTTATACTGTGCTTGCATTTTTCTGAAAAGTTCGCACTGATTTGTGAAAATTCCTTATTTCGTATTCTATACCCAATTATTTTTAATACCATTTTTAAAATATCATTATTTTGAATACCAAGTCAGATACATTCCGTAAGTAATTATCCATTGCTCACTTTAATAATCCAAAGCAAATTATCAACTCTCAAATGCATTTTTAATGTTTGTTATTTTTTGTTTATAACAATTTTAAAGACTATAGTAAAGTGATGGCTTTCTAACTTGTCTTAATACAAAAATGTATGGAATTAGTATCTGATGAACATTATTGGCAATTGAAGACATATTAACAAAGTTTTGATGTTTCAGTAGGGATTATCCATATTCACAACAAAGAAATCCTGACCCACATCAAATTTAGGAATTTCATGGGAAAATGTTAACATATACAGAATTTAAAACATTAGTGTAAGTTCCTTTGGAGTAAAAAAATTGCCAAAGAGAGTAAAGAGAATGAATAACACGAGGCTCTTCAAGTATTCAAATTTTCTATCTTGGCAAAACTTTATGTGAATATATAGTCATGTGAAAAAGAAAGTACACCCTCTTTGAATTCTATAGTTTTATGTATTAGTACATGGTAAAAATCATCTGGTCCTTAGCTTGGCTTTTTTTATATGTAAATAAATGATGACATGGTGTAATATGTCCTGTGTTGTTGATCATGTGAGGTTGTATTTACTTACTTTTAAGAACTGTCAAGGACCAGATGATTTTTACTATGTCCTGATACATAAAACCATAGAACTCAAAGAGGGATTTTCTTTTTTTACATAACTCTATGTATGTAGTGATAATATCATGATCCAAAGTTCATTGCTGAAAGAGTAGGACAGATTTTGCACCAAACCAGTTCATACTGAACCCAAACAAATAAGCAAAGAGAACTTGTGACTTTTTACATAAATAAAAATTATCTCTAGAAAGCCATCCAACTGGCCAACTTAACTTTTTCTGAATTTTTAATTCTCGGTGCTAAACTGCCGAGATAGATGACTAAAACTTTTAGCCTAACCAAAACACTGCTTTGGGATAGAAAGAAAAGTTATGAAAAACTAAGAAAATAACTGTATCATATTAAGGTGTATTACATTATTTTTTTTCTAAAATGTAGCATATATCTTCTTTATGAAATCAATATCCACTAGTAAAAAGGAGTTAATTGTACTTTAAGAAGCAGGTTATTCCTGCAACCAGAAAAACTAATTGGAGCACTTCAGCAAAAATTGTGGAAATCAAATGATGCAATCCAATCTTACTTATAAATCTTGGGCAAATTAATATAGCTCCAATGTATATGATTATTTCAAGTTCAAAAGTGTCCCTGTGAGCTGTATCCAGTCCCTCAAAATTAAATTAGAATAATGTAACAGGAAAGAGTCTTATACAAATATGGATAAGGGAGAACTGCCTGGCCTGTTATCCATGTCCTGAAAAGTTTATAAAGTTCTGAGTTTCTGATTCTCTACAAGCTTCCACTACACACATTTTAAAGTTAACAAGGAGCTGCATAATAATTATATTTTAACAATAATATGAAATAATATTTTAACAGTATTAGCCTTCTCTTTTCTCATCTTTTCCAAAGTTTTCAACAATCTTGCTAATTGTCCCTAGTCAGAGGTCAGAATGAATTTCTAAGTCTATTTATTTAGAAGTCAAGAAAAGGTAAGGCAATCTAAAGCTGTGGCTAATAACGAGAGTTCCCACAGAACCAATTCATCATGATAAATCTGTCATCAAAGGAAAAAAAACCTCAGGTGAATTAATATCTAACTGAATAAGTCAGTAACACTGAATTCGGGTAGTAAATATTTCTGCTTAATACATTTCTCAATTGAAAGTACAGACCATTTAATAACAGCAAGCAATAATCTTGCCCTAAAGTGATGAATTGTATCAAAAGTCAGCTGAGAACTACACCATATGAATAAAAAAGCAAGGAAACTAACAAGGTTATTGGCAAGGAATACTCTGGCTGGTAAGTTTACTCATATGCTTCAAAAGTATATGCTAATCACAACTAGTATCTTGAAAATAGTTTATTTCTTTTAAAATAAAGATAAATTTATCTTGGCTTGCAATCATCAGTTAAAATAGTCATTTAACACTGATGCATATCCTTTTTCTTGGATGATACATACCTTAAATCTATATGTTTTATGTGTGGCATTTTCCTTAGTATTGGCAAACTTAGTGTCTCCATACAATTTCCAGACATGCAGAGTTTGTCCATGGCAGTAAGTTTCTCCAGGACGTCAGGAATGTCACCGAATTCATTGAAAGAGAGGCCTAAATAACTAAGCTGATGCATCCTTTCCAACTCAGCTGGAAGGCTCTGGAGGAAGTTCCCATCCAACAAGAAGGTCTGTAAACTTTTGATAAGAAGGAGGAAGAAAATTTAAAAAAAAATCACTTGTGAAAACTTTAGGTCATTAATCAACCATTTATGTCATGACCCAGATTGCTTTTAAATATCAGCCACAACATCAAGGATCTCAAATCTAGTTCAAGGACTAGATCAGTGGTGGCGAATCTATGGCACAGGTGCCAGAGGCGGCACTCGAAGCCCCCTCTGTGGGCACATGTGCCATTGCCCCACCCTTGCCTCCCCCGCGACCCTCTCCTTTCCAGCAGCCCCTCTGAAGGAGAGTCACCCCTGAGCATGGCCCACACGGAGCAGTGCAGCCAAGGACATGACAGCCAGGCAGCGTAGACAAGACTCTGTCCTCACACTCCATCATGCAGAGGGTGTGGCTGCCATAGCGCTACTGGGCTGCCTGGCCAATCTGCGGTGAGCCCTGAAAGCAGTGAGTGGTCCTGAGGGCAGCGGGGCAGGGGATGGGGGACAGAGCGGGGGCAGGGGGTTGGAGCGGGGGTGGGGCCAGTTTTTGGGCACTCAGTCTCTAAAAGGTTCGCTATCACTGGACTAGATAAAGGATCTCCACCCCAGCCTTATTATGAGATGGGACAAGTTACAGAGTTGGAAGGAAAGTTGATCACCCTCATTCAGCAGGATCCATTCCAGGTGTTCCTGCTCCTCAACTAAGCTCCCAATCATTCTTCACATTCTGTCTAGAACAGGGGGCCCCAACCCCCGGTCCGTGGAACAATACCAGTCCGCAGCATGCCAGAAACCAGTCCACGCAAACAAGCAAAGCCTCATCTGCGGGATGCAGGCAGTACATGAAACCAGGCCCCCTCCGGTCCGCAGAAAAACCTCTCTCCACAGAACTGGGGGACGTTGCTCTAGAGGAGGTTGTCTTTCTGGGAGGAACCCACTAACCTTTGTGTAGGCACAGGTCATATTCTTTTCTCTACAACCAAACATAGATTGACAACCCACTGAAGGAAGATGCATGCCTGAGATTCAAACCACTTTTACCATCTTCAGTATAGACCACAGGTCGGCAACCTGCGGCTCCGGAGCCGCATGCGGCTCTTTGAGCCTTCCCCTGTGGCTCCCAGCCTCCTCTGCCTTTGCAGAGAGAGACAGAGACAGAGAGAGGCAATTGCACTTCCCTGCTTCTCTCTCTCTCTCTCTCTCTCTCTCTCTCTCTCTCGGTGTGTGTCTGGGTGTGTGTGTGTGTGTTTTGTGTGTGTGTGTGTAAAAGAGAGTGCTGAAAAGCTTTCTGGGCGGAGCTCCTCCCTTTGCTGCATCTCTGCAGGAAGCAGGAAGCAGGAAGGGCAGGAGAGAGCTAGCTAGCCCAGCTAGGCTGACTCAGGAATTCTGGGAGTTGAAGTCCATGAGTCATAAAAGAGACGAGGTTGCCTTCCCCGGAGGTTGTTGGACAACAGTTTGAAGCTTGCCAGGTGAGCAGCAGATAGGAGGGGGGGGGGAGAAAGAGAGAGAGAGAAAGAGAGAGAGAGGGAGAGAGAGAGAGTGGGGGAAGAGGAGTGGCAGACCAAGGGCAGATAGAGAGGGAGGGAGAGAGAGAGACCCTTTTGACATCTAAAATGAAGATAACACTGCATATATCCTTTTTTTACCTGTGTGTGTATGTAATTTTATTCTCTTAAAGCATTCTCTTGGTGATCATTGTTTTAATAATATGGATATTCCCAAGAGTCAATTTTTACTTTTATTTTTAATGTGTATATGTGTGTGTGTGTGTGTGTGTGTGTGTATACACACACACACACACATACACACACACATACACACACCTATAATAAAGGTAAAAAAGGATATATGCAGTATTATCTTCATTTTAGATATCAAAAGGGTTTTGCGGCTCCCAGTGTTTTGTTTTTGGTGGGAAACGGGTCCAAGTGGCTCTTTGAGTGTTTTGGGTTGCCTACCCCTGGTATAGACCTACTTGTTCATATCTCCAACAGCTGCTGGTATACTTCTGAGTGCATTGCAGGACAAATTGAGCTCGGTTAAGGTTGGAATGCTGCACACCGCCAAAGGGAAATCTCCTAAATGATTGTTGGAAAGGTTTAAGCTCCTCAGCTTACTGAACCTACAATAGAGAGGAAAAACCAGAAAAGGCATAACCGATTAATAAAAAGAGCATCATAGGAGAACCGTGTAACTTAGAATACCTTAGTACAGTTGAAAAATCAGACAACTATTATTTCTCCCAGTACTAGCAAAAGAGGTTAGGGTGATATTCACTGTTGACTCTTTATTGATCTCTCATCACTTATAAAAGCTGTAGGTTTAAATGAAGAAAGCTATGTGCGTGCAGATGTTAATTTTGTACTGTGCAAGGCAGCATGTTGCAGAAAACAAGTGATCAAAATGTATAATGCTCAAGGGTGCACCAAAAGTCCCAGAACTATCCCACTAAAACCTATAGCCTATGTAAGATTGCAAATGTAGAATTTTTAGAGTCAGTTGTGCAGGAGCTTGCCTTGCATAGACACTCTTGGAGGTAAATAAAGGTTAAAGTCACTCAAGCTCTGATCATCTCACACTTGGACTCTACATGCTGATACCCTTGAAGAGTATTCAGAAGTTACAGCTGGCACAGCATGTAGCCGCACAGATTACACCACTGTTCTACAAGCTACACTGCTTGCCACTTCGTTTCTGAGTCCAATTCAAGAGGTTGGTTCTTATCTTTAAAGCCCTTCATGGTATGGGTCCAGGTTATCTGAGGAACCATCTCACCCCAATGGGATTGGGCCCACTCAACGCACATGAGCAGAAGGGGCATGCTGAAGACTTTGTTGATCAAGGAATTCTGGCTGGGGGGGGGGGACAAGAGCAAAGCCTTTTCTGCCATGGCTCCCACGCCCTGAAACATCATGCTCCTTGAGGTGGAGATGGTTCTGCCAACTGGCCCATGTCATTCTAGATAGGGTTAATGGACTAAAACTATGTCTCCTCCCTATGTACATCTTGCTCCTTTCTTTCCTATCTTTGTGAATTTTAAATTTAGTGTTACTATTTATTGTTTTAATGTTTTATATAGTTTTTACTGATTGTAAGCTGCCTAGAATCGCCCCTGGGCAAGATGGACAACATGATTAATAAATAAAATAAAAAATAAACATAATAGCAGTAGTATCGCGGTTGTAAAATTGGAAACTTATTATTAATCCCACAGTGGTGGGATTCAAATATGTGAACAACCGGTTCTCTGTGTGGATGCCGCTTCCAGAAGTCCATTCTGGGCCTGGGCAACCAAAAATTAGCTACCAGTTCTGCCAAAGTGGTGTGAACCGGCTGAATCCCACCACTGGTTACACAGATGTTTAGACTGGATTTGGCATTTTTACCCACCTATCGGGTCCTTTCCCTAGACCTGGGATAGGAAGACGTTATTGTATGGCTTTAAAGGTATCGTTGCAGGATGTAAGCTGTTCCACGTAAAGCTGCCTTTTGCTTTTATTATTTTCATGGTTGCAATCTGTCAGATGTTTAGATTGGATGTGGGATGAGATAGTTCTCAACTTACAATCACAATTTGGGCCAGAACTTCCATCGCTAAGCAATGCAATTATGTAGTCATCTAGCTGACCAGTTTTGCTGCGGTCCAAAAATCACCGCAGTCAAGTGAATTACACTGCAGTCAAGTGTTGTTATGTGAATCTGGTTTTCCCCATTGACTTTGCTAGTCCTGGGAAGGTCACAAATGGTGACCACATGACTCTAAAACTTTAACGGTCATAGATACGTTATGTGACTGTGGGGATACTGAGACAGTCATAAGTCAAGGACTACCTGCCCATTAAGTCTATATTCAGTTACTGTCCACTCTAATTACTACTATTAATTCATTTGCAGAAATATTGGGTAATTTCTTTTTCCCCCAAGTTTCCTTCTGCAACTATGGGACAAAAATTATATTTCATTTTTAAACAAAAACTCAAGGAACTGTTGCTATTCTATGGTGGGCTGAGCACCTCAAGGTAAGTTACATGACTGGGGGCATAACTACGAAGTTACACATTCCCTAGATTCCCTCACATCAACAACTACCTACATTAGGAGTATTAAATGAGTTAAACATTATTTGAGCAAAAACACACTGCTTGGCTCATCAGAAACATACTGCAAGCTTCAATAAAATGAGCAACTCATCATTAAGTTTTCAATTAGTAGCACTCATTAAAAAAACAGTATTATAATGAGAAGTTTTTTACACAGGGCGACTCCTTTTCTACAATTTAATTTCATAATGTTTTAAAACCTCTCCTTGAAACCTACCCAAGGAGAAATAATCCTTTTAATCCTTCTCAAAAGTTTATGTACCTCAAATTTGCAACAGCATCCTAACTAGGACTTGATTTCAAGTAAAAGTGATGCAACGAAGAGGGCACAAAGAGGTTAGTCAAGAAAGCTAGAGGATAACCAAGTTAGCCAGTGTGCTTCTGTAGCCACATTACTCAGATTACCTAACAACAGGGGTAAATGGCTCAATGAAGTAGTTAAATGGCCCAATGAAAAGATCTGTACCAGGTTCAGATGGAGAGAGGTTCAAAGTTCATTGAAAGGTTTTATTTTCCCTTCATTAAATCTCACATGATGAGGGAATTAAAACACACATGCAGCATCAAGAAAGCACTTTGAAAAATCAGCCATCTGAGGGCTCTCCCAAAGTTAGCATCATTCCTTCCCAACTTGACCCCTTTTCAGTCACGGAAAACTAGGGCAAATATGAAAGGAATATAGTTCAGTGCTAATATTTAGGAAAATCCTACAGGAAAAAAAAAATAGAGCAGAAAGATACCTCTCAAGAGGCCAGCCAGGTCAGAGAAATACAATCTTTCTAGCTCTCAGGAGAAGACATTTAGGAATCTCAGGAAATCACAACTTCAAAATAGTTTTCATAGGGACATAGCTAATAATCAAACAAGAAAGAACAAATTATAATAAAGTAAGAAATAGCTTAATTGTAACAACAAAAAAACACCTGAAGTATACAAAAACATGGACCGCATAGACCCATTCAAAATAACGTCATCATGCAGCAGCCTAAATCTGGGGAAACGGTTATGAAACTTTCCACCCTACTCAAACCCCATATTTGTGTTGTTGTTAGTTGCAACATAAACAAAGCAATGCTGGCTTTTTCAACTTCTGGCTGCCTCTTTCTTCTTCAGATAACTCTACATACTGTCCATTAATCGAGACAGGCAAGGGAAAGGCAGGATAGGCCATTTAGTTCAGATGCAGCAGAATGCCAGTTTATCATGAAACTTCTTTCCCTGGCTTTGGAATGTATAATGCACTGAAGACATGTTTGTAAATAAAGTGGGTAACTGTTCTAGGTTGCTTTAGGTTTCAAAATTGAAATTTGAATCATGTGTGGCACTTTTTTTTTTATTGAGGCCGTGCTAGCAAGCTATGGACACAACAGCACCACAGACTCCACCATCTCAACTCAGAAATCAGGTTAAACTCAGTCTAGTTATACTGGGCTAATAAAACATAATTTACTTGAAGACGTAAAACGTGTCATCAGGTCACAATGTAATGGTTTTACTGGACAAAGAAATCTCAAGAGATAAGCATTTTTCTCAAATGTATTTCAAATGATTTTCTGCACAATCAGTAAATCTCATATATCACATTTAATTTTGAAATTTCCCCAGTACTTCACAACCTAAAGTCCATCTTTCTTTTATCATTCAATTCTTTTCCTTCTCATAAGAATATTAATGGTACATTATTGAATCTATCCTGAATTTATTAATTACTTTTCCTTTAATTCAATCATGTCTGATTCTCAAGAGTCTGCCTGGACAAGTCCCTGCACTCTTCTTGGCTAGGTTTTCAGAAGTGGTTTGCCATTGCTTCCTTCCTAGGACTGAGAGAAAGTGACTGGCCTAAGGTCACTACGTTGGCTTTGTACCTACTAGACTAGAACTCATAGCCTCCCGGTTTCTAGCTTGATGTCTTAGCCACTATGCCAAACTGGCTCTCTATGAAATATTTACCCAAACCATTAACTCCAAAATTCAATGTACTTCACTTAAGCATTATTTGATTTCAAAGGAATGGAATTAGGGAGATCTCTCCACCCTTATACACTGCTGAGTATTTTTATGCTACATGCTATGTTTATCCAGGAAAAAAAATAATCTAGCATTCTAAAAAATCTCCTACAATATCCTTGAGCATCTTCCCGCATTTACCATCCTTCTAAATAGTTTTCTGAATAGCAGAATTTGATTAACTCAGACAAAAGTTAAGTTAGACTCAATAGCAAGGAAATCCAAAGAGAGAAAAAAAAAAGGTTTCAGGAAGTATAGTAAATCCTGTGAAACAAGATGCTGATTGGACAGTTGTGAGCACTTCCTAGTAGAAGAAAATATGGAAGTTATCTGAAGAGACTAGCATAAATACATGCAGAGCTTTCTAAAATGTTGGAGGAAAAAAATTGCTGTGTAAGAAATGTGTAAGAAAAGGCCTAGGGGTGAAGAACCAAGGCAGACACTAAAAAGTGTAGGTACTCAGTCAGAAAAATTAAAATTAAAATGCGGAATAAGCTGAACAAAGCAATTTTTCAGATTCCCCATGACAATATGTTATATTATATATCTCAACCTCAGCAATCTCCCATAAACTATATTTTATAACAATTTTTTTAAAAAGTTATGTATTTATAGAATTCTACATATTCAAGCATTTCCTAGGCTCGCTAAATTGGGAAGATATAGCTTCCTAGGTGCAAAGTCTAAAGAAAGAAGTAGTCATTGCTCTGAATGTAAGAGTATAGCATCAAAGTAGTAATCTGAGAATTAGAAAAGGTAGTTTTCTCCACAGCAGGTGCCAATATTAGCCCACTATATAATTTAGGACTAATATTGCTTTTAAAAAGGTAAAGGATTCCCTGTCTAGTTGTGTCCAACTCCAGGATGTGGTGCTCATCTGCATTTCTTCGCTGAGGGGACCAGCATTGTCCAAAACATTTTCAGTGGTCCTGTGGCCAGCATGGCTGTATGCCAAAGATGCACAGAACACTGTTACCTTCTCACAGAAGTGGTACCTATTCATCTACTCGCATTT